CATCCACAAGTCCCTTATCGGCAAGAAAATACCTCCACCTAAACCCCTTTCAATGTAACAAGATTCATAACATGAATTTTATTGTATTACTTCTCACATCTCTATCGATGTTACATTATTTTTGAAGAGGGCATCTGTCTCCTCTCAAACGTATGAACCCTATTGCATTATGTGTGTGAAGTAGTAGATTTATTCAGACCTATTTTATTATCTGTCCATATGTTCATATTTGTAAGTAAATGTCGAAATCACGTTCCCATTCCCTTAATTTCCATTTATTTAACCATTACCAAGCATTAGTTCTACTCTTGAGTTTATCATCCTTAGTTACAGTTTTCTATAGGAACTGAAAATATCATAGGGGACTGTTAGTGCCTAAGGTTTGTGTTAATCCGAGTACAACTGGTCAGTTTTCATCAAAGTTCTTATAGTTTAAATCAAACAGTAAGAATTTAAATTCAGTCCTATTTTGCCACTAGTTAAGATTAGTTGAATGTAGTGATTTTGCGTAATGGAAGCTCATCGTAAATATTGGCTCCTCGACATCTGACGTGGTGAAATGAACTTGGAACTGCTGTTCTAAACTAGGCTGGGATTCGGTTTACGAGTAATATCTTGCAAGATTTTCTGCCTGTCACCCATTGGCTTGCTAATCGTCATTTAGAAAACTACCTTGACTCTGAACGCAGGTGTGCTGGTCTTATTGTAAATATGCCTTGCGACGGTAACTGAGTCAACTGATATGCGCTAAATCTAGTGCGATTGAACTAAGCCACAAGAGATACTGCCTAGGTATGTAGGGTAGTTCAGTCTATCAAAAGTAACGCGTGATTGGTTGGTACATACACTTGTGCAAACTGGTCGTTCACGTTTAGAATCTATTTGCCTATTGCGGTCGAAGCTGGCGTTGCATAGAGCTAATTGGGCAGGAGTTTGACTAATAGCAACTGGTGATTAATGTACTATTGGGCCGACAGTTACTCCTTCGTTAGTCTGACTAGTGCTTGGTCGGCCTGTTGGTTGAGGTTTGACTCACGCTCTATGCACCACTGGTGAGTTCTCTAAATTAAATTTGGTGCAATGTAAGAAATGTGGGTGACGCCAGTTGTTCACGCCTCGTGTTCTAAGTAACTTGGTTGCTCACAGTTAGTGACGTTTCTCTGCGACAACCTAGTTTCTATGAAGATGATTTCTGGGTAGTCTATAGCATTAGCTTTTGAAAATAATCTATAGTTATTAGCCAGGCTTAGAGTGTGACTACTCATCAGCGTGGTGAGTTGCTATTGTAACTCGGCCAGGTTGGAATTATCCCTCCAAAAACGACAACTCTTCATATTTGAAGTGTCAGATTATGAATTATAAGACTCAAATAAAAGATGTTTTTATTACTGTAATAATTACGATTTGATCTCGAGTGAGCAAGCGAGTTGACTGCAAATTCGTATCTGTAGGTAGTGAATCAAGGATAAAAGTTCACAATGTGCTCAGTACTAGCTATCCTCGATGAAACAAGTTGCTCACGCAATTCTTTATACCTTATAGTGCATTCGGCGAGACTAATTTATGGACGAGCCGATCAAAAGCGTTTTAGAGATATCCAGGTTACGGCGCCAACTTCAGTGCTTAATTGTGAAAATTTTCCGGGTTTTCTTAATAAATATAGGCGCACTTCCCCAAAGTGTGATAAGATTCTGGGAGACTGTTATAACGTGAAAAATAATGCTGCCGAAGGGTTAAGGGGATAGCGAATTATTGATCGGACCAAAGACGCACAAACACGTAGAACGACCTAGGGTTCTGATTGGTCTCGCTTCCCTGTCTAACCCAGCCAGTTGAGTCCAGAACACAAGTTTCAGCCTCGGATATATGAATCATTATATTTCAAACATACTTGTTTATATACCATTCAAGCAGTCCACAACGTACCATAAAATAGAAGATAACATTGTACAATAATGGCCAGTAGGAAAATGACACGTTAAATAAATACTGACCAATAAGATGATACTATTTCATGTCCAAGGATAGCACTAGGCTTAACAGGATAATTTTTGGGATATTTTCCTGAATATCCCAACAGGGACTTCCCTAAAATTGGGAGCTTGGGGTGCGACAATCGTTTATTCACATGTTTTAATAGTGTCTCGAAGTTACCGAGCAGAACTGAAATAAAGTAACCTCGGGAGACCTTAAAATGTTAAGTAATTACCTGTTGTCAACTTCTGGTCGGTAGGCTTTGGCTCAACTATTTTAGTAAAAAGAAATGGTTTAATTACATCCAGTTTTTTGACGATCGATTGATGAACTAGAAGTTTCTCAACTTGAGATCTCGATTCACGCAGTTATATAATGTGAGTAATTTTATCAGATTTATTCTGCTTCTAGGTTAGAATAAATCACCTATATTCTCTCTATTCCAGTTCCAATATCGATCAATAGTAAGTGCCGAGTTGTATTCCTTCTTCGTAATTCCTTATAGTCATAGGCTAAGTTGTGCTGTCTAGTGATCGGTGATCTATAACAAATGGAAGAACATCTACTTACTTAATTGCTAAACACAATCTGTTACTTATTATTATGTATTCAACCCAATCTATTATATCACCAGATCTTGAATCATGAAACATTTAGTACCGACATTTTTCTCAAACCTACCGGACTTCATCCTCTTTGTTCTTGTCCACTTATATGAATTGACCAGTAACTCGTTCCCAAGCACTGGAAAGAACAGACGTTTTTCCTAATATATCCACATTATTTAACAAATTATCACTCAACCATATAAATATCCCTTAAAATATCTCAATACTTAGTTTTCTCCCTTGTCACTAAAGTAAACTGGTGAGAGCTTTTCTAACACTATGATATAAGGTGGGTACGAAGGATCCACCTAGGGAATTTGGGAAAACCTTATCCTAACCAACTGCACTCATGGACTTCGAGATCCTGGAGGAACAAATGGCATATGAATCTATTCTTGATCACCAGTTAACATAGGATCGCATCTACTAACGTTGCTCCGTCGACATGTGGATTAGACCTCGAAGCCAAAGTTTCGAGGGGTGGCTCCCTAAAGAAAACCAACGGCTTCTGTCTGGGCACCCAGGGAGTATCCCGCCCACACACAAATTTAATGATAACTACTTTGTGTGACACATTTTGGTGCCCTTGTTTTACCAATGTTTATGTATTCAAATAAATAAATAAAATGATATTAAGTATTTACACTAGTTTTTCAAAAAAGAAATAACTATTACCATTATCTTTAGATTGTGAGCAATTGAAGAAAACCTGTATAGTATTAACACATATATTGTATATTTTTGTAAGAGACATCCTACAACAATAACAAAATTCGTCAGTAATTTTTGGTTGTTCATAAATGCTAACAAAATTAAGAATAAATAGTGTACACATTAGATTAATTAAAACCTGTATGAATATATATATAGTGTTTCTGTACAATGATATTTGATATGAAAACCTATTTGACAGAACAAATTCGATTATAAAATTGAAGATGTTACAGTTGACAGAGATGAACTACTATGAAGACTTGCATCAATTGATGTTGAGTCTAAATTCATAGCCTTTAAGGAAAGAAAACAGAATTTAAAAAGCATCAGGTTTATTAAGGTAACTTCGGTTAGACAACCAAGAATGATTGGATACTTTTTGCGTCCTAACATAAAATATCTCAACAGTGCACACCAACAAACTTATAAAAGATAGAATTGACGATCATCAAGCACTAACGCAATCGCTTAACAACCAGAGCACTGAGTTGGGATCCAGTAGTTCAAATCCCTAACTACAATTAACTCGTGATATTTCTGATGTTATTAGGAAGCGAGTATAAATAAAATTGGAACTTTCAGAAGCATTTTTTCGTATTATCATTACAAATAGTTCTATTACACAATCGGTATATGACAGCATTATTGTATTTTCAGATTTTCCTTATTGTAAAATTCCAGTGGACCTATTAACCATTATGCGTTTTACCATTCACATAGTACTAATAGGAAATTATGTACTTATTGCTTCGGTATCTGCTACTTATGGCTTAAGTGATGAAATCATGACTTGTTATTTGCTATATTTTGCGATCTGACAATTTGCGTATAGAACCTAACAATTGTTTGAGATAGCTAATGTGCTAGCTGGCTGGACTGAGTGATTGAAACATAATAATACTAACAACAGAAGCTTGTTTACGGACTTCTCCTGAGGCTCAAGGCTAGGGATGAAGTAAGGTCCACAGATAGGCGACCAATAGAAGTGTAGCTTACATTAGCTCAGTATTGTGTCGGCCAGAACGTATCATTCCTCTAAGATAAGGAAGCTAGGCTATAGTTCATGAAGCAGAGGCGGGGTGAAAAAATGTGACCGGAAATTCTGATTGGTAGACTTAGCTCGTGGCAACGATCAGCGTCTCCAGACACACCAGTTCAATCATTATCCGCTACCATTGGTGATATTTATATAATAACAATTGGAATAATAAGACAAAACAGCTGTCCAGTACCTTCTGGTTTTCACTAATCGTCTAAACAAAATCAGTTTCTGATGAGAAACTTCAAATTCGACAATCTGCATAATACCCTCTAACAACAATCATTATTTGTAGTTAAACGAGATGGAATTTACCATGAAAAAGATATAAGATAAATTTAACCTTCACTATGAACAGTTAAAGATATAATAAGCAGTAACGGGGCTTAAAAATGTACTTCTGTAGTGTACTTATGTGCTTATTTTGACAGACATAAGTAGTATGTAATACCAATCAGAAGTTGAACGTCTGCTGAAAGAAGGTTGAGGAGATTGAACTGAAGGAAAAAGCAAGGAACTTGGGAAATGAGAATTGAGAAATGGAGAAATCGTGAAGCGTGTAAAGGACAATTGACGAAACATTTGCAAATGAAGTATTTAATTTATGCTTTTTGGCATCTTACGAAAGAACTCGGTAACTTTGCATTAAACAATAAATTACTTGTCCCCATCTGAGTTCTCATTCACTACAGTTCTACTGGTTGATCTTGAATAAACCTAGAAAGTTCGACACCGAGAACTAACAAAGTTTTTTTATAGAACGTCTGTTTTTGTGACAAACATACTGTGTATTATTGTATGTAGCCTCCATTAGTGCTGACTAGTTACCCTGTCTGCTTTGCATTAAATCAGTTTTCTTTATAAATGATGATCGATTGACTACATAATTCACATCAACTCGGACAAACCACGATTAATTCAATTATATTGTAAGTAAACGACAGATGGCACCAATGGAATGATAATGGCGTAATATTAAAACTTGAGATTAAATAGGAATGTAGAACATTTGATTGCATTTCAATGGTTTAGAGATTTTGTACCTGTCAAGAAATCCAAAGTTGATTTATCTATTTTGTTGTACATTTTGTGTGTGTACAGACACTGCCGAAATTTGTCAAACCGGAACAAGACAGCTGTTGAGTACATCTTCATTTTTAATTATTAAACACATATGGTGATATTGATGCGTAGTGAGAATACACTTCAGGATGAACATTATCCACATAACCTAAATAATTATATGTTTCATACAAGAAATACTAGCTGAAACTATCCTCACAAATAAGTTTGCTGACAATAAATATAAACACATTGCCAAATATACGCAGCTAAATTCACGAATATTTGGATCAAATGTCTCATTAGATTTTTAGTTAAAAAAGGCATTTCAGTGTTAACTAATAACATCCTATAAATACAATTCTAGACATAAATGAAACTGTCTCATATAGAATAAAAAAGGATTGGATCATATAATACTTTATACTACGTTATGAACATTACTATAAAATTTCCTCAGGCAGACTAAAACACTGTTATGCTTTATACGCCGCTAACAATAAGCCTATTGAACTTGAGTTTTCTCTCTCAAACGATCGGATAATTATTTTCATAGATATAACTTACAAATTATGCGATTATATAATTAAAATATACGACAGTAAATTACCATAATTTATAAATTCTATAATATTTGCAACAAAATTCGTGGCCCATGACAACGTTCGATGGAGAACTCTGATGAGGAGCCTATGCTTCTTCATGAGGGGTAAAAAGTGTAATTAGTTCATTAAGTAATTTCATCTGTATATTCAAGTTGATTTTAACCAATTACCTAATCTTCGATTACTTTGATTTGAGATTTGGAAAAAAAGGAAATTGTTGCCGCACATCAATGGTATGATAATAAACAAGTACGGAAGTTGGTGCGTTTACAATAAGCGGCGTAAGAAAAACGTGAAGCACACACGCAAGACTTAGAGATAATCATAGTATCTTTTTCACCCATATCATCTTGCAAGGAATGGAAGTTTACAAACTTAACTTATTACAGAGTTACTCTAAGACAAAGAAATAACAATTTGATCTTATTAATAGATCTCCTACTGAAATGTTTGACATTGACATCTTAGCCGTTTCATAAAGCCCTAGCCTACTTTTACACTTTAACTGGGACATTAGAAAACAGGCACAAAATGTGAGTAAGTGCTATTAACTCCTGGGGTTAGTGATGTACGGAAAATTCATTACACGTACAGAGTTCCATATGACTTTAACCTTTGACAAACTTTCTGGAAGGATAAAAAATATAGTAACAACACAGCTAATTATCCAACTAAAAAATAACACAAAAATTATACCTGTAAAGCAGCTTGTCGTACAAGTTCCAAATCTGAAAAATCTTCAAGATCATAAGAATCAGTGACAGTAGTATTCGATTCAATGTTTCGGTGAGTTCCTAATATTTTTGAAGTATTACCATAAGACGATCGTTGTAATATATTATTCATTAATACTATTCCATTATTATTCTCATTCTTATCAAAATTTCTATTATCATAATGTAAAGTATGATGTTGTTCTGATATTTTAGAAAGTTCTGTATTAGACATTTTAGCAAATGAAGATAACGTTTTATCTTCTTCATATTCATTAAATTTGCTCAATTCATAAGAAAATTTCTCATTTTGTTCTTCTTTGGTACCATTAAATTGAACAATAATTTTTGATAAGTGACTGGTTGAATTATTCCTATTGAAGTAAATAGTAATAATAATAGTGATAATAATAATAATAATAATAATAATAATAATAATAATAATAATAATAATAATAATGTTTCAAGCATTCATACCCATTTCTTAATATTATTTCAAACATTATGAAATAGTGCTGATACAAATCGTAAGGATAATTCTAATTGTAAATACATTTTGATAATAGATAATTTTTTTTCGTTTAATATTCTAAATATATGTACAAGATATTTAACTTGGGTAAAACCTAATTGTATTATTCATTTATATTATTATTGTCTCATGAAAGTGTTACATTCATGTGACTTGGTTTACTTACTTACTTACGCCTGTTACTCCTCGTGAAGGAACATAGGCCGCTCACCAGCATTCTCCATCCAACCCTGTCCTGGGCAATCCTTTCCAGCTCCTTCCAGTTGTTATTCATCCTTTACATATCTGCTTTTATTTCCCGACGTAATGTGTTCTTTGGCCTTCCTCTTTACCGCCTTCCTTCAAGATTCCAAGTTAGGGCTTGTCTCGTGATGCAGTTTGACGATTTGCGTAGTGCATGTTCTATCCATTTCCATCGTCTTTTCCTAATTTCTTCTTCAGCTGGGAGCTGGTTTGTTCTCTCCCAGAGAAGGCTGTTGCTGATGGTATCCGGCCAATGGATGTTGAGTATCTTGCGCAGACAGCTATTTATAAGTACTTGCACCTTCTTGATGATGGTTGCTGTAGTTCTCCAAGTTTCAGCTCCGTACAGTAGAACTGCCTTGACGTTTGTATTGAAGATTCTCACTTTGATATTGGTTGACAGTTGTTTTGAGTTCCATATGTTCTTCAACTGAAGGAATGCGGCCCTTGCTTTTCCAATCCTTGACTTTACGTCTGCATCTGAACCTCCTTGTTCATCGATGATGCTTCCCAGTTATGTGAAGGATTCTACATTTTCCAGAGTTTCGCCATCAAGAGTGATTGGATTGCTGTTCTACGTGTTGAATTTGAGGACCTTGATTTTCCCCTTGTGTATGCTGAGGCCTACTGATGCAGAGACGGACGCTACACTGGCTGGCTTCATCTGCATCTGTTCGTGTGTATGCGATAGGAGGGCTAGGTCATCTGCGAAGTCCAAATTGTCTAATTGATTCTGAGCTGTCCATTGTATTCCGTGTTTTCTATCAGATGTCGAGGTCTTCATAATCCAGTCGACCACCAGAAGAAAGAGGAAGGGAGAGAGTAAACAGCCTTGTCTGACTCCGGTCCTTACTTGGAATGCATCTGTCAGCTGTCCTCCATGCACGACTTTGCATTGTAGTCCGTCGTATGAGTTCCGGATAATATTGACAATCTTCTCAGGAACTCCGTAGTGTCGAAGAAGTTTCCATAACGTCCTCCTATCTACACTGTCAAATACCTTTTCATAATTAATGAAGTTGATGTATAGTGACGAGTTACACTCAACTGATTGTTCGACGATGATCCGTAGTGTTGCAATTCGGTCTGTGCACGAGCGATCCTTACGGAATCCAGCTTGTTGATCTCGAAGTTGGGCGTCTACTGCATCTTTCATCCGGTTCAGCAACACTCAGTTTAAGACTTTCCCTGGTATTGACAGCAGTGTGATGCCGCTGTAGTTTTCACATTTGCTCAGGTCTCCTTTCTTTGGAATCTTGATGAGGTGTCCTTCTTTCCAGTCCGTCGGCACTTGTTCCTCCTCCCAAATCCTCCTGAATAGAGTATGAAACATGTTTGTAGTTACTTTGATGTCTGACTTCAGTGCTCCAGCTGGTATATCGTCGAGTCCTGCTGCTTTCCCGCTCTTGATTTGTCTGATCGCTATTCTGATTTCTTCCGTCGTTGATGGGTTGACATCTATAGTAAGATCTGTGTGTGCTGCTTCCATGTCCGGTGGATTCATTGGAGCCGACCTATTCAGGAGTTCCTCGAAGTATTCTACCCATCTGTTCCTCTGTTGTTGAATTTCAGTGATTGGCCTGCCTTCTTTGTCCTTGACCGGTCTCTCTGGTTTACTGTATTTCCCTGATAGTTTCTTCGTTGTATCGTAAAGTTGTTTCATATTTCCTTCCCTTGCAACTTTTTCCGCCGTCGTTGCTAGTTCTTCCATGTATTTCTTCTTGTCGGCTCTAATGCTCCTCTTCACTTGCTTGTTTGCTTCTGTGTATTCAGCTTGTGCTTGGACTTTCTCTGCTCGTGTTCGGTTGTTGTTAATTGCTGTCTTCTTGTTCTTCCTTTCTTTGATCTTGTCCAGTGTTTCTATAGAGATCCATTCCTTATGATGCTTCTTTAGGCCCAGAACCTCTTGACACGTTGAAGTTAATGCTTCTTTGATGCCTTTCCAGTTGTCCTTCATAGTAGTTTCTTCTTCCGCCTGTAGCTCTTCTAGAGTTACTGCCGGTCCCAAGCCCGGATAAAGGAGGAGGGTTGGGCATGGGGGTTAGCGTCCTCATCCCGTAGAAAACTAACTCGTTAAAAAAACGCTTACCATGTGACTTGGTTAATAATCTAAAATTGTAGTCAATTGTTAACTAGCGATATCGTATCATTCTACATCATTTAACAATTATTGTTCTCCAGTAACTTATTTCTTTTATCAGATCTTGTGTGTGCACTGCTGAGGAGTCCCATACTAGGACGAAACGGTCGTCCAGTGCTTCCAGATTGTCCATGGTGGTCTAGCTTCAATTGACTCAATGAATTCAACTATAAAATTATTTCTTTTAAACTTAAATTGTCAAAACACATCCTTCAAACAATGTTCTATAATGGACGAATAAATGATTGTTACATTTTTAAAGCTATTACATGATGTTCAATAGATAAGTAGGCTTGAAAATTATCTAGTATTTATATATATATTTTTTTATGAATAAATAGAACGCTGGCGTGCAAGGAATTCCTTAGTAACTTGGTTCCAATCCATTGGTTTTCCCTGTTATATTTGTTACTGTTACTTTTGATTTGCTACTATTGTGGTGTCTCTAGGTCACAATTACAGCTAAATAACTAAAGTTGATTTACTACAATTTCACCTTCTGTCAAGAAAGTATCAAGCTAACATAAAGGTCTCTTTTGTTATTTCTTATTTGAAGTGTTCTAATTTATTAGTCACCTAATCTATCTAGTTTGCGTAGACCATGTTCTATATTGAAACCCCCCCCCCATTCATCCAGAACCATTATAAGCTACAGAAAATCATAACTGCTTAGCAGTAAGCATCCACGATCCCACACGCGGGACTCGAACCAAGAAACGTCGGTTTTGCGTGAAAAAACATTGATCGATTCACGATTTCGATGAAATTCGAAAATTTTCACAACTCCAAATAGGAAATTATCATGTGCTCACTAGTGACTAGCTTTGAGAGGGAATTCTCGGAGTTCTAGTGAGAAGCTGTGACCAGTGGAGTCCAAGCGTTTCGGGTATGAGGCAGTTAACCACTAAAGACAATGGATAATCACACAACATCGGGATTGGCTGAAGTTAGACGTTAACACCAATAAACGCCAGCTCAATATTCTAAAGGTTAGGCATTCGCGAAAGACCGGAAGTCCTGTGTTTAAACCCCGCGTATGGGGCCGTGGGAGCATCCCAATGAGGCGCCACATGCTAGGACGAAACGGCTGTCTGATGCTCCCAGGTTTTCAATGATGTTTTAGCATTGATGGGTACATGACTTCAATTAAATTCGAAAAACTCCACAACCACAAACTGCAGGAAATCATAACAGTAGCAACCATTAACAGTAAAATTGAATAGATAATCACGGCTTCATACAACAGAAATCATTTGGTTGAGCTACGCTTTAGTAGTCAAAGCACTTGACTAGTAGTCACCAATTCTCAATGTTTAGCCAAGTTCTAATAACCTCGGTTTAAACAGTCAGGTATTGTTAATATACGTAAGGCTGAGTTCATGAATCCACACTCAATTTCTGAGTTACACTACAAAATTAAGTACTCATTAACCAAACTAAACAACTTAAAACAACTGTCTGAATGCTAAAAAGACGTCACAAATAGTAAAGTGATATGAAAATGATGATACCATTTTGTATTTGTTAGTTATTAAAATGCAATGTAACAGAACACTTCACAAAGAATATCACAAACAACAACTACAAATATGAATAATCCGGCGGAAATTTAAGTGATATTAAGTTTTTCTACTGAACTCTTAAAAAATATTAGGTCGTCTCATTTTGTAATAGGAAAAAACAGCTTTCTTACAGTTTTATGCACTACATATATCGATACTAGTCGACAAAACATATGTCGTAATAGAATAAGTCGTTTCTCACTAAGTACATCTCCGCCTTTTAACATTACTAACATGTCATCCACTTAAAAGTGTGAGGTTATTACTTGCGTTACTCATATAGCAAGTAACAATAATAATACTCGTCATGACAACAACGATTACTATTATACACCCTAAATACATAACACTGCTTAGACAATAATAACCAAGATTCAACATTTTTACATTTGTTAGTTATCATTTTAAAGCATCTATATAGTCCCTGAAGCTTTCAAAGTAGTCAAACTTAACTTATGAAGATCAATTTTGTGAAATCATCAATGTACATTCATCAATAAGTATGGATATTTTTACCTTACATGTGGCTAATCACAAAATGAGTAATACAGTGATGATGTCTTTGGTTGTAACACAGGTTAAACAGTGTTTAAATCCTATGGGAACCATCAATTACTGTGGGCTTACAGATATGTATTGTTAGCTAACGTCGATACTAACACGAGACCTACGTTGAGAGCTTCCAGATGATTACCATCAACCACTTAACAATTAATTAAGAAAAGTTTAATTTATGGTAGATCTTAAACAAATAATACTGTAATATATCAGATAAATACAGTGAAAGTATATGGAAAAGAAAAGAATCTAAAATAGTCTATTCAGGCCAGTTCAGTCATTCAGAAGCAACTTAATGAGGATACCGATGAAACATGTTTAATATATACACTTATTATATTTGAGTATTACACATCAATGCTACTTAAAAACGGTAAACCTCTATGTACAAAAATCATTCTAATATTACAAATCTCCAAATACAATATGACACAGAAATAAAATGATTCACTAAACTATTTCGCAAACCATATGTACTGCTCAATTCAATAAATAAACTAATATCCAACACAGAATTTGCATTATACTACATAATTCTCTATCGTAGCAACTAACACTTGAACAGATGAATAAGCACTGATACAAACTTCATTCATTCCAATTACAAATCATTAATAAAACAGATAATCCATTATTATTTACACACTAATTTGTTGTATCATTCAATATTATCCCCTTAAGTTAAAGTGTTTAACGGACCATACTTCAAATTTTCGCTAGCTGTCCATAAATCTTGAAATGTTAACCCATTCAAAAAAAGAAAACTTTATATTCAGTCAGTTCTAATAAACAACTAAGAAAAAAAAACAAAGCATTTTACTTGAAGCGATTCTAGTGATCATTTAATTCGATAAAGGATTAAAGAAATTTTTATCCCAAAACAATATCAAATGCTAATAAATTTCCCAAATAAATGAGTATTAGACAGTTGTTTGAATCCACTTTAAAAAAAAAAAAACTAGTCAATAGTAAATAGACATAATTCCATATAAAATCAGACTTAAAATCTTTTCAGTAGTCGTACTAAACACTATAATTTTTTAACTATGGAATCAAAATATGAATGATGATATTTCCAATTGAAGGTGATATTCACTATGTTTATAGCTCAACCAATCAAATTCTTGTATAAACGCCTACCCTGTCGATCAGTAGACTATCCCTGTTTCCTGTAACCAGCCAATTGAAGGACATTATTAGTATGACTCATAGTTTTTTATATTCATTTCGATAAGACAAGTGATACTGGTTGGTATATTGTTCATAATTAAGTTTAGAAACAGATAAAGTTTAAATCCAATTTGTCCTTGTTCTAGCTAGAGCTTTTACATAGACTCTGAGGGGTCGTCGGTATCACGTCCACAACTCTTGTAGAATACTTGTACTTATTTACTTACGCCTGTTACTTCCAATGGAGCGTAGGCCATCGACCAGCATTCTCCAACCCACTCTTGTCCTGGGTCTTCCTTTCTAGTTCTATCCAATTGTTATTCATCATTCTTCTCATGCCTGTCTCCATGTCTCAGAGTAAGGTGTTCTTTGATCTTCCTCTTCTTCTTTGACTTTAAGGAGTTTAAATGGTTTGAATTATTTTTTCCTGGTCAGTATTTTTTTAGCGAGTTAGTTTTCTACAGGATGAGGTCGCTAACCTCATGCCTAACCCTCCTTCTTTATCCGGGCTTGGGACCAGCAGTAGCCCCAAAGGGGCTCCGGACGGAGTTGTAGAATATCTGTAGGATAAATTAAATTCTACAGTTGATTTTACAATGTTACGCAATAATACACCAATATAGCATAGGTACATATCTGTCTTCTTTTCGGATCTGTTTTAATTTCATTGATTACAGATTACCATTATTATTATTATTATTATTATTATTATTATTATTATTATTATTACTACTACTACTACTACTATTATTATTATTATTATTATTATTATTATTATTATTGGAAAATTTGATCATCAGTTTTCAATAATCACACAAAGATGAAAACAAAAACACAGTTTGAACAATTTACAACAACATACTTCAATTCATTATCATCTTCCATATGATTTTGTTCAATCATATTACTAGATAATTGAACACAATTTAATTTATTACTATCATCATCACTTTTCTTTGTATTCAATAGATAGACATTATTCAATGTATGCTCTATTATTAATTCTTTTCTTTGATCATAATAATTATCTTGTATATCAGTTTGAGTATAATTAGAAGAAAATTCAATAGATTTATAAGTAGAATTTGTCAATTTAAGTGAAATGGATTCTTTCCAAGCTTTTAATTCTTCAACCTAAACAAATTAAAAAATGATATGAAGTCTCAATTTCATTCTTTTTTGTTTTCTTGTTAACAATAAATAACGATAAAATACAAAATCAGTGTATAATTCATTTCAGTTTATTTGATAAATGATTAGTAGTGGAATTCATATTGAATGTTTCGTTTTCGTCGAGTTTCATCAGCTGAATTTTCATATATTTCAGTATTAATGTTCCCATGGAGATTCACTGGATAACAAGTTAAGGATTGGAAGAGAACTATATTAGGTTTGAGATATTAATGGAGTTATAGGTACATCCAGTTAATGGGTATATCAAACAGGGAAAAACGTGCATCCCAATCTTCAGTTCAAACAAAAAATTTATAGCATAACAATATATCGAGACAGTTCGTTTCGGGATACACAAAAAGCAAAGAAAACTGAATAATTGCAAGCTTGAATATCAACAACAACAAACTGTGAAACCTTTTGGCAAAGCAATTCGTTTGTTTTAATTTTTACATTTAATAAAATGGTTACGTATAGATGGCATGCCGATTTTAGAGTCACAAGTCACAAATAAATTTCCACTGTAGAAACACCCTAAACCTGTGATTAGTTACTAACTGTTTTTTCAGGTTGAAATCTCTCAGTGATCTAAATTCAAGACCTCTGCACGGAACCAAAACCAGAATTCTGCTTTTCATCTTTCCGTCTGTCCTCCGAAACGAATGTTTGCAACATAAACATTCGAAGCACTCGTGTTCAGTGTTCTATAGATAAAATATATATAATATAAGTAGGATTTGTATTTCGTCTACATCGTTAAAGATTCAATCACATTGGAGTCAGAAAACCCCCCATCTAAAATATGTCAAAACAATTTAACAACAAACTCAAACAATAATGACGACATAATATTTACGCAAACTAGTTTACTTCATTGAACATTGGTTAGTCACTGGATATGATGGGTCCTTTTTCGTGCTGGCCCAATTCTATCGATTAAGTTGCAACATGGTCGCTGGTCTAATTGACTTAACATCACGTGCACTATGTTGAGATGCGAGGTGGTTGTTGGAAATAGTGGATGGTAAACACTGAACCTACTTTTCATGCTATTTGGCACTCTTCAGCAAGGTATACCTGTGGTCTTGATGGAACTGATGCTCCCGAGTGTATTAAATCACACACCAGCGATCAATCATTTGTAAATACATCTCAGTCCTACAGGCGGTCATTCGCGGCCCGGATAGCTCAGTAGTAACATTACTGGGCGATAAGGGATTAAATCCTCCGGGAAGCATTAGCTTCCACTAGATTACAAGTACATCTCCCTGACGAGTGCCAAATAGTATGAAACGTAGGTTCAAGGTTTCCTGTAGACTACTTCCGACTACCATATTACAGTTCACTTTATGCACAAAGTACATTATTCATTTCCATCTTACTGTAGTCTGTCGGGATACGTAAGTAAATTTGTCTTGAGTTCATAAAAGACATAACACCAATTCACGTTCACTACATAATTCTAATTCACCTGAATCAACAATATATTACACATGATCTCCCATAGTATCGTGTATAGTTTATTCATTGTATATAGTTCATTCGAAATGTTATCGATAAAACTATGTTTCAGGCAGTAAATATCTAAAATACAATTGGCATGCGAAAATGCCTATTCGATCTTTAAAGATTCTGGTAAGGGAAATTATAAAAGTAATATAATAAATTTGAAATTCTTTGATATGGTATGACTAGTTATTTGTTTAACAAAAATAAGGAAAGCTGTAATAGTTTCAAACAAACCATTTTAATTCGAACCTATAATAAGTAACCAATTATATTGTGACCATCAGTAATCCAGTTAAAAAACTGTCACTTTTTACAATGCGCAAACTACAATTTATAAATCATGATCGACTTAAATGTTTCGACTGCGAAGTGTATTTTCTATACCGACAGATATAAGTAGTATGTAGCAGGAATAGGAAATGGAATGCTTACCAGAAGAACATTGAAATGAAGGGGAACAAGCAGGAAAATGAAGAACAATCGAAATAACAAGAGAATTAGAAGAATGATTGAGTATGTTAAGGACAACTAAAAAAATTGTCAATTATGTATTTAATGTATGATTTTCACATTTTACCGAGGCACTGTGTGATTTTACACTAAACAATAAACTGATTTACCACACCTGAGATTTTATTCTCTACACTACTACTTAAAATCAAGCATATAACCGGTAAATAATCTCATTTAATGATTTCATGACAGGTTATAATCCTTACAAAAACACAAAAATGAACAATTAGAATCGGTTTTGAAGCACAATTGGTTTGTATTTTATAGCTATAATATGATGTTAGGTCTAAGCAACTAATGTTTGCGATACTGAACTTCTTAACCGACAATGGATTCTCACTACTTTGGGAAAATCGAATCCTGAACAAATTAATAAGGTGGTAACGTAAATGCAGTTTTAATGTAACCTTAACTCAACATTCCAAATTAAAAGTTATTCACAAACGATCTTCAATAGTTAGAAACTTATTAAAATGAGAACTCTGCCTGGAGCCCTTCCGGGGGCTACTGCCGGTCCCAAGCCTGGATAAAGAAGGAGGGTTGGGCATGAGGTTAGCGGCCCCATCCCGTAGAAAACTAACTCGCTAAGAAAACGCTAACCAGAAAAAAATAATTCAAACCATTTAAACTCTGTCCTGAGAGTCAGAAGGTCTTCATTTAGAAGAGTTATGACGCCTCATGATGAAAGCCAAGTTCCTTCGGAAGTCACGAGGCAGATGCTCCTTCTGACAACCAGAGCAACCATTTATCTAAGTACATGGGATGCTCGTACAATGTGGGAGATCGGGAGAGTCTTCGAAATTGCTGCAGAAATGAGGAGATACAATCTAAAGGTGCTTGAGATCAGTGAAACACATTGGACGGAAGTTAGACAACAACGACTAACTTCAGGATAACTTCTGTTATACTCCGGCCATGAAGAAGAAAATGCCCCACATACACAATGAGTTGCATTGATGCTGTCCAAACGAGCACAAAATGCACTTATAGGATGGGAATCTCATGGACCAAGGATAATCAAGGCCTCCTTCAAAACAAAGAAAGAGGGCATTACAATAAATGTCATCCAATGCTATGCACCTATTCACCACTACAATGAGGATGTTAAAGATCAATTCTACGATAGGCTGCAGTCAATCGTCGTGAATTGCCCAACAAAGAACCTAACCATTCTGATGGGAGACCTAAATGCCAAGGTTGGAATGGACAAAACCGGATATGAAGACATCATGGGACGACATGGGCTGGGAGAAAGGAACGAAAATGGTAAGAGATTTACAAACATATGTGCTTCCAATAAAAAAGTCATAAGCGGCACTATATTCCCACATAAAGGCATTCACAAAACCACATGGACTTTACCGGATCACACTACGCAAAACCAAATTGACCATATCTGTATCAACAAAAAGTTCAAGAGGACGATGGAGGATGTGAGAACCAAGAGAGCTGATATAGCACCAGATCATCACTTGTTGGTCGACAAGATGAAATTGAAACTCAAGAAGCACTGGACAACGGGGCGGACAATATCACAAATATTCAATACGGCCTTTCTTCAGGATCCTGACAAACTCAACAAATTCAAGATAGTCCTCAGCAATAAGTTCCAGGCTTTCATGATCTACTCAATGGAGAAGGAACTACTATGGAGAGCAACTGGAAGGGGATAAAAGAGGCAATTACTTCAACATGTCATGGGGTTCTGGGCCACAAGAAGCACCATCAAAACGAATGGATCTATAGCAACTCACGTGAGACTGAGTTTGTTCACATTTAATTCGGTTAGGTCATTTTGTTAACTTATTCACGAACTGAGTCATGCGTACAACAACAACTTATCTTTATCATTGTTGCGAATGTATGAACATGTATGCTTGGGCATTGCTTACTGCCTACGCACTTATTCACGCTGCTAGCCTTACTAATAACCGCTTAATTGATTCGATGATTCATTCATTTCACTATGTATATAAATGTTCATGTCATTCATGTTCATGGCTCTCCCTCGCTTAATTGCACTCGCTTACTAATACTCATATTCGCTGACTCACTCGATCGCCTGCTTGCCTTTCGGCACAACTCGTTCATGCTTGTTTAACGCACCTGTAATTTTGGATATCTGTGTGTGGTCCCACAATAAACATAATCGACACTTCGTATTCGCCTTCTGATTAATATACCGTTGGGGCGTTATATAGGACGGTTATCAAGATGAACTGTATACGAAGTTTAAGGATTATATTGAATACCGACCACCACAGATCACTGTTGATACACTGGACACGATTCAAGAAAAGAGTAACAAAAAGGCAGCCGTCGTTACCAGCCGAATAAGAGCAGAGAAATCCAAGGCACAAGCTGAATACACAGAATTAAACAAGCAAGTGGAGAGGAGCATCAGAACCGACAAACGTAAATATCTGGAAGATCTAGCTATGACGGCGGAAAAGGCTGCAAGAGAAGGAAACATGAGAAAACTGTATGACAACAAAGAAACTCTCTGGAAATCACCGTAAACCAGAACGACCAGTGAAAAGCAAGGAAGGCAAAGTAATCACCAACATTGAAGAACAACGAAACAGGTGAGTAGAACAATTCAAAGAACTTTTGAATCGACCAGCCCCACTGAACCCACCTAACATCGAAGTAGCACTCACGGATCTCCCAATCAATGTTGGCCCACCAACAATTGAAGAAATCAGAATGCCCATCAGACAAATCAAGAGTGGTAAAGCAGCAGGATCAGACAACATCCCAGCAGAAGCACTGAAAGCAGACGTAGCGGCAACTGCAAGGATACTCCACATTCTCTTCAATAAGATTTGGGATGAGGAACAAGTACCAACAGACTGGAAAGAAGGACGTCTGATCAAAATACCGAAGAAAGGCGATCTCAGCAACTGTGATAACTACAGGGGCATCACTCTTCTCTCAATACCGGGAAAAGTCTTCAACAGGGTGTTGTTAAACAGGATGAAGGACTGCGTAGACGCCTAACATCGAGACCAACTGGCAGGATTCCGTAAGGATAGATCGTGTACAGACCAAATCGCAACTCTACGGATCATTGTGGAATAATCAATTGAATGAAATTCATCACTCTACATCAACTTCATTGATTATGAGAAAGCATTTGATAGCGTGGACAGAACAACACTATGGAAACTTATTCGACACTAAGGTGGGCCTCAGAAGATAGTCAATATCATACAGAACTCATATGATGGATTACACTGCAAAGTTGTGCATGGAGGACAGTTTGCAAACTCGTTCGAAGTAAAGACCGGTGTCAGGCAAGATTGCTTACTCTCACCCTTTCCCTTTCTTCTGGTGATCGACTGGATCATGAAGACGTCAACATCTGGAGAGACGCACGGGATACAGTGACATCTAGGATGCAGTTGGACGATCTAGACTTCGCAGATGATCTGGCTCTTCTATCGCAAACGCAACAACAAATTCAAGTGAAGACGACCAGGGTAGCAGCAGTAGGTCTAAATATACACAAAGGGAAAAACAAGATTCTCTGATGCAATACAGAATGCACCAATCCAATCACAATTGACGGAGAAGATTTGGAAGATGTAAAAACCTTTACATATTTGGGAAGCATCATTGATGAACATGGTGGATCTGATGCAGATGTGAAGGCGCGGATCGGTAAAGCAGGAGCAGTATATTTACAACTGAAGAACATCTGGAGCTCAAAACAACTGTCAACCAACACCAAGGTCAGGATTTTCAATACAAATGTCAAGGCAGTTCTACTGTATGGGGCGGAAACCTGAAGAACTACGAAAGCCATCATCCAGAAGATACAAGTGTTTATTAACAGTTGTTTACGCAAAATATTTCGGATCCGCTGGCCGGACATTATTAGCAACAATCTATTGTGGGAAAGAACAAACCAGATCCCAGTGGAAGAAGAAATGAGGAAGAAGTGTTGGAAGTGGATGGGACACACATTGAGGGAAACACCAAATTGAGTCACAAGACAAGCCCTCATATGGAATGCTTAGGGCTAAACAAAGGAGGAGAGGAAGACCAAAGAACAAATTACGCCAGGAAATGGAGATAGACATGAGAAGAATGAACAACAATTTGATCAAACTAGAAAGGAAGGCCCAGGACAGAATGCTGGTCGGCGGCCTACGTTCCATTGGGAGTAACAGGCGCAAGTAAGTATTGAAAAGATCCTAAAATAATGATTTTTTGCTGGTTTTCATTTACAAATACTGTTCATATGAACAGAGATGCGGAGCGAATGAAGTTATTTTCAATGATAAATCATTATAATAATTTTGTGCGAGCTGAGATATTGTTTGACAACCCAGACCGAGGCAGGTAGTATTCTGATAGGAGAAGCCAATCCCCGTTTCTTCGATCTAAAGGTTTAAACAGTAAGGCAGTGCAAAAATATCACAAAGTCCTGGTGATCAAAATAAGTTCATATTACTATTTATTCCCATAGGATCTTGGATTCAATGTACACCATTGGTTTGGTCTTAGAGTTTTACAACTCCTCTAGTTGGATCTTCCAAATCCACCAAAACGGTTTAAACGATAAAAGTTAAATTTTTGTTCCCATTCATAAAATAAACCAGTAACATGAAGGTAATAGAAACTATTTCCCTGGCAGAAAAGTGAACATAAGAAAACATTTAACTAGGGAGATTGAGCTCTCCTCACCTGCAACTGTATCAGGGCACTTGAAGGCCTTGTTTTCAGCTAAAATTATCAATAGCTCCAAGTTTTTCTAAGTATAAAGTCGGTTATTTTTAGCTTTTATATAAGATTTTCCGTGACATTACTGAATTATCTACCTTTAAATACACCAATAATAAGATTTTTTAAAATGTTAGAAAATAAGTTAACTCACTTCTTTTAGTAAAAACTGAATAGAATTCGAATGTAACTGATTCAGTTTAGATTCAGCTTCATTGGATTTACATTGAGTTTGTAATTGTTTTTGTAAAAATATAACATGATCTTGTAATAGTTTAGTTTGATTACCACATGTTGGACAGTAATTAGATAATGATGTTGTCATGGAAGATGTTGAAGATAATGTTATTGGGTTAGAATTGTGACTAAATTTGTTAATTGGATTAATCAATGCATTATCTAACACAGTAGTTGTTACGTTATAACGATCAGCTGTACAAAATGAATAGTTTATATTGTATACAATATAATGATATTTTTTATAAAATTTGTAATGAGATGCAAAATCAGAAATTAACAATGGATTATGTATAGTAGGGTAACTTAATCTAAACACCATATCATAGCCACTGCTTGTTTGAGTGATAAATATTTCCATTGATTTCACGCATTTAAGGAACAAAATATTGCCATTTTCACTTCGTTAATTATAACATATGAGCTATTTTGTAATGCACTTTCAATTTCTTGCGAAAATCCACGAGGAGCTATCTTAGTTCTAATTGGTTACTTTAGGGCCGTCAGTACAATATACTTATCACCGTATACAGATGTAATTATCGAAATTTGATGTGACTGATTGAAAGGAAAACAATGATCCTACTACTAATAGATATTTCCACTGGTTTATGGTATTCTACTCGTAAATGTATGGAAAGCTAGATTTGAGACGGACAAATTGTATTAAGATAAACACTTAGAGTATAATTGGTTTTAAGCGGTTATATACAGTCAATACGCAACATTTCCATATTTTGTATATTATACATAATCGGCTTACAGATCACTGGTTGATTCTACATAATTTATTAATTACATAAGATGATAAGAAAAATATTTGCGATAAAAGCATATTGTTTTATAACTGGTAGCGAGCAGTATATATTTTTAGGTTAAAGGTTAGAAGATCATAAATTTAAATGTCAAATGAATAGTATCAGAAACTTTAATATAGCAAATGTGGATTCAGGCTGAATGCCGGATTTACTAAATTAATTTAGTAAATAATGAAGTGTGATTCACCCGACAGTCGTAATCAATTGACATAGATACTAGCAGTGAATGAAATGGTGAGTCATTAAGACTATGGAGCTGGATAATCCAAGTTCAAAATCCTACAGACTGTGTTAGTTCTATTCATGTTGACTGGTGCCCATCAACATGAAGCCTAGCTCAAGCGGGATTTACAGCAGGTTACCCTCCAATCACTTAATATCTCAACATAATGAGCACGATATTGAGTCAATTGAGCTAATGACTACATAGTAATTTTTTTGATAGGATCCCATCAGTACGAAAGGACTAAACAAATATGACATTATTTATTTGCTACTCAGTGATCAATCAGTTCGAAGAAAACATAATTCAGTCAGTCAACGTAGGATCAGGCACATATATACATCGGTCCAAGTTGCCACAGCGTATTAGCACAACAAATAGACCATATTGCCATCAGTCATCGTTGGAGAGGGTCGGTACAAGATTGTCGCTCATTCTGGAGTACCTGCTTGGACTCCGACCACGCCCTAATACGGGCACGCATCTGCTTGCGCCTCACTGGACGCAAAAAAGCCACAGTAAAAAGACCCATTAGAACCGAACTGAGTAGCGAGGAAACCAAAAGTAGGTTCCAGGAACAACTAAGGTCACGATTAGGTAGTTCTGAAGACGATGTTGACCCAGATGTTGCTTGGAAAGATATACAAACAGCTGTGGAAACAGCAGTGACATCTACTAGTGACTTAAACCACAGAGTTACAAAGAACCAGTGGATTTCATCAAAGTCTATCACACTGATGGATTCTCGCAAACTCGTCCCATAAGGTTCCGAACATGAGGAAGAGCGACAACAAATCAGATCTAGGTTAAGAAAAAGTCTAAGAAACGACCGTGAGCAGTGGTGGGCAATGAAAGCAAAAGAGATGGAAAGGGCGGCGACTATAGGGAACACAAGACAGCTCTACCGACTAATAAAAGAAACTGGAATTAATAAGTCAAGTGTAAGTGAGATTATATCGGAAAAAGACGATACTCTCATCTGCTCCCAGTCCAGACGTTTAGAACGATGGGCGGAACATTTCAGAGAACAGTTCAGCTGGCCTCCAGCTACTCTACAACTACCCTCCATTCCCAGACAGTGTGAATGGAACATTGAAGTAGGTCCCCCAACTCTTGCTGAAGTTCAAAAGGCTATAGTTAATCTGAAACAAGGAAGGGCAGCTGGTTCAGATGGATTGGCTCCAGAGGTCTTTAAGGATGTTGGGCCAATTTTAGCGATTAGGTTGACTAATATTTTAGCTAAAATCTGGGAGTTAGACGTTATTCCATCTGGCTGGTCACAATCACTTATCGTCCCAATATATAAGAAAGGGTCAAAATCATCCTGTGACAACCATAGAGGGATTAGTTTAACTAATATAGTATCTAAAATAATAGCCTCGATAATTATCAGACGCTTAACTAAGACTCGTGAACTGCAAACACGAGAGAACCAAGCTGGCTTTAGACCTGGTCGTGGCTGCATCGACCACATATTCACCATTCGTCAGATTCTAGAACACAGGCATACTTATCGACGTCCGACAATGGTGGTCTTTCTTGACTTAAAAGCAACATTTGACTCGGTAGACCGCGAGATTCTGTGGCAGTGTCTGTCATTGAAAGGCGTACCCCAGAAGTACATAAACCTTGTGAAGGCTCTTTACTCGAACACTACTAGTCGAGTCAGACCTTATGGCGAACTGTCATCTACTTTTGCAACCTCAAGTGGTGTCCGTCAAGGCTGTCCACTTTCTCCATTTTTGTTCAACTTCATCATAGATCTACTGATGGAAATAACATTCTCGTCGACTGAGTTCTCCGGTATTGATCTCCTACCAGGAGGTCCACTTATCGACTTAGAATACGCAGATGACATAGTCCTGTTTGGTGAAGACGCTGACAAAATGCAGAGTCTTCTGGTAGCACTGAGTAACAATGCCAGAATGTTTGGAATGCGCTTCTCTCCCTCTAAATGCAAGTTGTTGCTTCAGGACTGGGCTGCGTCAACACATGAACTAAGGATAGGGAGTGAAGTAGTCGAACGCGTTGACAACTTCACTTATCTTGGAAGTCTGATCAGCCCTAATGGGTTGGTATCGGACGAAATCTCAGCACGGATTCGAAAAGCTCGCTTGGCTTTTGCCAACTTGCGTCACCTATGGCGAAGGCGAAATATCCGTCTATCAATAAAAGGACGAGTATACTGCGCGGCAGTCCGTTCTGTTTTAATTTACGGCAGCGAAACATGGTCATTAAGAGTAGAAGACACTCGTAAGCTATTAGTATTTAACCACAGATGCCTTAGAAATATTGCTGGCGTCTGCTGGGATCACCCGGTAAGTAATAGTGAGGTCAGACGCAGGGTATTAGGAAATGATGGTAAATCAGTTGATGAGGTTATGAATCTTCATCAACTGAGATGGTTGGGCCACGTGTTACGTATGCCTGAACACCGATTACCACGAAGTGCAATGCTAACCGATGTTGAACATGGTTGGAAGAAAGTTAGGGGCGGCCAAACCAAAACGTGGCATCAGTCCTCGAAGTCACTAACTTCTAGTCTTAGCCATGTTGGTAGATGCAGACTACTTGGTTGGGGTCCGCGTGACTATCGTAACCAATGGTTAGAGACTCTTGGTGACATGGCTCAGAATCGATCACAATGGCGTCGGTGTATACACTCCCTGTCTTCCCTTAAACTAAGAGATTAAAATCGCTTCATATCTTTCTTTCTACGAACCAATTCTTCCTTCTTGTACTATATCTCTATATGCAATCTTTCTCTTATATATTACTACCTTTGACCTAACCACTGCTACGAATCCGGTGTTCATCTTGTTGTGCTGATGCGGTATGGCAACCTGGACAGATGCACATATGTGCCTGGTCCTACGTTGTAGCTGACTGACTGACTGACTGATTAGCACAACAAGATGAACACCAAATTCATAGAAGTAGTCACTTCAATGGTAGTAATGTATAAAAGATTATGTATAAGGATATAATATAGGGAGAAAGAATTAGTTCGTAGAAAGAAAGATATAAAGCAATTGTAATCTTAAGGTTTAAAGGAAGAGAAAGAGTGTATACACCCACTTTGATATTCATCTTGTTAATTTCGACTTGTTCTATTAATGGAATGTGGTGAATTGGGCCAATACACATATTTAGCAGACTCTACATTAGTTACAACTGACTGAGTATGGAAATTCGTAAAAGTGAGTTTAATAAAACAAGTTAAATAGTAAGAATAAGCTACCTTTTTCAAACTTATTACTAAGTTAAACAGTATAAACTATATTTTAAACAAAATATTTACAAAATGAAACCTACTGGCTGCTACTGAATTCGATTCGACATGATTATCATCATTAACGTCAGTGTTAATGGCTAATTTCGAATCTTCATTCACTTCAGCAGATTGTACCGACTGTCTATTAAAGTATAAAAATTAAAAAATAAAGTGGAAATTATTAAAGATTGAATTCAATTCTATTTGTAGATAGAGAATACTTGGATTAGGGGGTCTTTGTGATTATCAGAATCAATGGTTGGAAACGATAGATCAAATGGCTCATAAACACAGCTATCTGTGTTCATATTGGTTAATACGTAAATATACGAAAATGGATAATATATTTAGAATTGCTTGAAGTGGAAGCAAAACCTAATCCCATCGTTATTTCATTTGTCAATATTAAAAAAATTATTCGATTTATTTAAAAATAACATTATTAATAGGAAAACATCAGAAGTATGGAAATCTCAACGATAGGATAACCAAAGATTTAAATATACCAGCCCGTAAAAAATCCCAAGTATAATTCAAAGTTTACAATAGCGACTGGATTTGGTTATATTTTTGTAACCCGTTGATCTGACTGATTTGATCGTATGATAATGGTAATCTAATAGAGATTCTCCCTACCCTCATATTTAACTATTAACCTAATTTGCGCTAGAGAATAACAGAATAAGTGAAATATGAGAATGGATTTTGGATACGTATATTTCATACACTAATCGATTCAGATAGATAATCAAAGAAAGGAAACGAAGAAGCAGACTGTGGAAAGCAAATATACCAAACTCGCTTGGTAAAGCATGACTTAATATGTGTAGCCAAACAAAATAAGTTACAGACATGTAGGCGAATAGGATAAGGGATGAACACATGTAATCAGATTAAAAAAGTCAAGGTTGATAAACAAATAATTAACAAGGTCAAAATGTGACTCAAGAGGAATAAAAATCAACTGATCTATCCGGAAACTAGAATAACCCAGTGGACCTGACGTAGTACTAGAGGCTACAAAACAACTGAAAATCACTGGAAAAATGTTTTAATCTAGTTCGGAACACCGTAATAGAGCAGATTCACAGCTAGGACAAAACAGTAATCCCTGACTTTCGGTGTTTGTCTAACTAAGATCAGATCAGCCCCCAAATGCCCTGGTAAGGCCGAGAGTAGGCAGAGTCTGCTCTCCTACTCGAAATGCTCTCACATAGCCACGCGTATATAGCCTCTGCCAGAGAAGTCCTACTCATTGCCTTTTCGTGGCAGGGGTGTTGTTTACAAAATCGAGAAGACGAAAAGCGAATATCCGGCGCTTTAACCGGGTTGGTGGACATGGAGATTCCACACCCAGGGGAGTTGGAAAACCCTCATTCCAAACCAATGGTGCACATGGGCTCCAGAGTCCTGAGGGAACAAATGGCGTATGAACCAGTCGTTAGTCACCGGCTACCATGGGACTGCATCTCCTTACAATGGTCCACTGCCTTTTGGATCAAGACCTTTAGGTCGAAGGCTCCGGGTGTGGCCTCTCTAGGAAAACCACCTGCCTCAGTTTGGTCACCCGGGCAGTATCACAGCCCCCACACAATTCTAATGATGTTTGTGTAGCGCATATGTATCTGGTGCCCCCTTATACCAATATCCATGTGTTTAAATAAATAAATAAGCATGGTATAAACTACAAAACACAACAATCTCCATACCCCTTCATCCTAATAATTCAAAATATCATAGGTCACTAAAATATGTCAATAAAATAAAGCCAACATGACAACAAACAAAGAAATAAGTGAGAAAGTGAAAACATAAGAAATGATGATCGGTCAATTAAAATTGAGAAATAACAGTTAAAATACATTTTAACTAAAAAAACACAAACTATGGTGTTTGAGACTGAAACTATTAATTTGTTCATTGATCAAATGCTAAATGGACATGATAAACAAGTCTATTCAGTTTAAAGTTCCAACTGATGAAGAAACAGATACATTAGATCTTGAAAAGTATGGAACATTTACAAATACGTGGGTGGCAATGTAACAGAAATCTCTGTTTGATTGAACTTTACTAACATTTTTACAGGTAAGTAAATTTTTAAGAGATATATTTATTAGAATTTCGCAGTTGTTCATTAGAAACATGATGAAAATTATCGACAAGCTGTACAATAGAAATGTTCCTATCTTCCGAAAATCCGCCGGTTTGAATCACATGTTTATTTAAACACATAAACATTGTACAAGGAGGCACTAAATATATATGCACCGCAAAAATCATCTGATTTATGCTAGGGCCGTGATACTGCTCTGCAGCCCAAACCGGAGCAGATGAATTTCTTAGGAGGCCACTCCTCGAGGTTTAATCCATAGGGGGGAGTGGAGTAAAGTTAAAAGATGTAGTCCCATCGTAACCGGTGATCAACAATAGGTCCATACACCGTTTTTCCCTTAGGATTATAAAGCTCATGTGAACCAATAGTTCTAAATCAGAGTTTTCCAACCCCCCTAGGTGGATTCTCTGAAACATACCCATCAATTAATTCAGTTTTCCTAGACAATTTATTAAATCAATAGTAATTACACTTAATGTGTGATTCAATATTGAATACATAAAACTATTTATACTTGGGTCTTAGCAAATATATGTGTATAATCAGGTTATATTGCGTTAATATATATTAGATAATCTTTATCTTTGCATTATATTATTCTGATTTTTGTTTTAAAACATCAACTAATTAGTATGAGATGTTTTGTGGAGATTATAGTAATTTCAACAGTTGAGATCATGAGTCAATTGAAGCTAGACCACCATGGAAAACCTGGAAGCACTGGACAGCTGTTTCCTCCTATTGTGGGACTCCTCAGCAGTGCGCATCCACGATCCCGACGTCCAGTGCTTCTAGGTTTTCCATGGTGGTCTAGCATCAATTGATTCATGATTTCAACTATTGAAATTAATTAATTAATTCAAATAAAAACCAATAAAATATTAACAACAAAAAACTTACTGTTTAATGTTATTATCGAAAATTTCATTTTCTTGATCTTTTGTAATTGAATTATGAACTTTCATAGATTGTGCGCTAATTTTATGTTTTAAATTAATTAGACAAGTTAAATCCATATCATCCAAGACTCCTTTAACTAGTATATCTTTTTCATCAATATTATTATTACTATTATCATTATTATCGATATTATTATCATCATTATTACTACTATTATTATTGTTATTATTATTATTAAGGGTAATAATATTACCCTCTTTGAATTGTTCATCATTGTTTGGTTTATCTATGTGTTCAGCGAATCTACTACTTTGAACTGTTGTTTCTGTTATGACATCATCTTCCTCTTCATTGATATCATCATTATTATCACCTTCTTCGTTTTCTTCACCATCATGAATTAAGTGTACACCATTTATTAAACCTAATGTTTCAAATTTTATATTTTCATTAGAATTTATTCTATGTAAAGAATTTTTCAATGAATGTGACAATTTTGGTGATTGAAGACACATTGATCTGAAGAAAAAAATGAAGAATAACCTTGAACATGTAGTTGGAATCTAAAATATAATTTAGTTAGATATCGCTAAGTAATAATTCAGGATTAAATACCTGAAGATTGGTAAGCATTCAATGGATATACTAACGGTCAAAGTTAGAATCCGTTTGCTTTCCAATTAATTTTCATTCTAGCATCCGAGTAACATTGCTAACGAGCACATCTATTCAGTGGTTTATTCACATCGATTTTACGCAGCTAGTAAAAAGTGAAGAATAATTAGAACTTGGTTGGTTAAGTTAAAACAAATCTCATCAATAAAGCTATGGGACATTAGATATTCGGACGTAATCAGTAAGAAACTTTGGGCCTGGGATTAATCCTAGTAAGACTCATGGTCTTGAGGAGAATGATGTTTTTGAACCTTAATCACTTAACTACATAGTTTGAGACGTTATCACTGAATTATTTGAGCTGTGAATGACCTGTGGGAAGTGCAGGTGATAGTGAGTCATTTAAACTAGTGGTCACATTGTAAACAGATAGATAGAATTCGACCAGCAACAACGAGCAAACAAGCATGTCATTGGTCATCGTTCAAGAACTGATCAATGTACAATAGCCAGAAGATGAGGGAACAGAATACAACATGGAAAAACCAAAAATTAAACTAATAACCGATGTTTGCAAGTTGAATCGATTAATACAAATTTTAGATTCATTTTTCAGTAATTCAATCCGACAAATTGAACCATATTTTAGGCACACAACTATTGGTATCAATTCCCTGATTAGATCTATGGGATAAATAAAAATTTGGTAGTGATGTGATGTGACATGTTGGTAGATTCAAAGTACCTGGTTGGTGTCCTCATGATAACCACAATCAGCGGTTGGGGACTGGTGATATGTCCCAAAATCAATTCGTGATGACGTAGATGCACTTACTCTTTACCTTCCTATCAATCTTTAATTTTAGTATTTTCATATACATCCTTCCACTCTATCTTCTCGAACCTTCTCCAGTATGTTTTTTTTCATTTTCATTTCTACTACATTATTCAGATCTTTTTGGCTACACATAGACTTCATTTCGTCATCCTAGTGTACCATGGAGACGGGTTAAAATATACAAATGTCCCAGACTGACTGACTGATTGAGCGATTTGACATAAATACACAAACAAATACACTCGAACCCTTCTTAAATATTGAACGAAAATTAAAATACTCACTGGTGTAAAGGAATGAAATTCCCAGAAGATAATAAGCTATCACTAGGTGATAATTTCAATGACTTCTTATCAATACTTTGACAGTTGTTGACATCACTTATCGTGCAATGAACTGTATTTGAATGATTTTTCGCCTTATATTCTGTTTCGAATGTTTCTTCTATGTTATTGGTGGTATTTGATAAAGGTAAATAAACTGAATCCGACGATAACAGATTATTAGATGATGTAATAAGTTGATCATTACAATATGAATTCATTCTACATTTTTCATCAATTAATTTCGTTTTGAACAATCCTTCCTTGATTTCAGGCAGAACTTGTCGAGGTGAATTAGTCGATATTTTTAATAATGGTTGAGGGTTAGTCATAGAGTATGATGACGTTTCGTGTGCAGTAAACAGACTTTTATTATTATCATTATTATTATTGATACTTAATTTCGGATTAGCAAGACTTGATGAGTAGGATAAACTAGACATATTGACACCTTCTGTACAGGTACTTTTATCATTGTATTTAATTTGATTTAAATGAATATTACCATTATTTAGAATAGATGAAATCATAGAATTATTATTGGGTGGGTAATTGCTTGGACTAGAATTAGTAGTTGTAATAACAGATGGTGAAAACGATTGAAACACATGATTACGATCTTTATTTGAACAAGACTAAAACAAAATAGTGGAATTTTAGTAAAGAAAACCATAAGTAGATAAGGCAAAATAACTTATCTGAATTAGTTAACAGTTTATATTCACTAGACATGATCTACGATAATCTTTCCCATATAAGATGAATCTTTTAAAAGAATCAGTAATTAGTATGAAGTGATTTATCTGGACAACAACATTTTCAGCTGTTACTCGATGAGTATTGAATCAACGATAACAAAGAACACTGCTAAAACAAATCGACAAAATTAAAATCCAGCGATTTTTTAATGTAAGTCCCGTCTGTCTATCTAAATCTTAATCAGATGAAATACCTTCAACATAATGGATATAAGAAAAAATCTTATTTGAGTTACAAATGTTGTATAGCTATCTATCTTTTAGGAATTCAATAAATAGGAAAATCTTAAGGATAAATTGAGTAGTTTTTTTGTTCGAAATTGTGCCACTTCATACAAAAGTATTGGTTGAATGCCAAGACAAACTTAATGCTTCTTTAATGAAGTTAACGATAACTTACCTGTGGTTTGAAAATAAATTCCATAACAAAGAAAATGTTAATGTATTTAACTTTGTCAACCGATAAAATAATTATAGTGTGTGTTGCTGATGTCGACAGATATAAGTAGTATATATTATCAATCGAAAGTGGAATACTTGGCAGCAGAAGGTTGAGAAGATCAAATAGGAGAGAACGAGAACAAAGAGTGATTGGTATGGAAGTGAGGGAACAATAAAATCTGAGACAGTTAGTGGACACTTTACAAATGAAGTATTTACTGTATGGTTCTCAGATTTTACTAAGGAATTCTGTAATTTTGTACTTTGATGCATTTGGTTGTCCACACTTATGTTCTCATTCACTACTCATTTACATACTGGCGAAAATCAACAATAAATACAAACTATAACTTACATTATTCATTGCGGACGTTAGTTCTCCAGAACAGGGTTTACTTGAAATACCTAAGAAACAAACGTTTTTTTCACTGAGAAGGTGAACATACAAAGTATGTGCCAATATTATTAATCACTGTGAAGAACGGATATTATAACACATTACTATAGAATTGTAATTTGAACTCTTATTACAAAGAAAACATAAGATGTATTTCATTGATTATAGTGGACTATTTTCTTGATGGACAAATAAAAATACATGACCACTAAGATTAGTTAGTAGAAGTGTGTGTGTTCAAGTCCTGATCCCAATAAAGTACATATTAATCAACGTTTGTTAAATATTCTGGCTTTTTTTATGCCTAGACTTGTGTTAAGACACGTAGATTATTTATTCTAAGTTCATTTTCTATTGAAGTTAATAAATAATAGATGGTTGCTTTGTTTCCATATTAAGTAACCTAAAGGTTAAAATCTCTCATTAAAATCATCCACGACCCCGCATATGGGAATCAAACCCAAAATCTTCGATCTCGTATGTTAATGTTTAACCTCTATACCACTGAGCTGGCATCTAATGGTGTTAATGTCTAACTTCAATCAATCCAGATCTTTTTTAACTAATTTTGTATCACGATATCAATTTCTGATTGTTTATTTTTTGGATAATTCATTTGAGATGTTGTAAGTTGGTAATGGTTATTTGATAAAACAATTTAATCTTCTTATTGTCTTGATGTGGAGTTTTTTTTATCTACATAACATACGATGAACTCTTGGTTGGTTATCTCTTAAACTATCGACCATTCCTAAGATAAAAGCAGTTCTGTTAGGTACTTTATTTAAGATGATTGGCTTAATTCGCAGATTATATTCATCAAAGATTAATCGCAGTTGGCGGATTATTGAAAACTAAAGAACAGTGGACAGGTATTTCGTCTAAGTTTGGGACTACTCATAAGTTTCTCTTCATGACCCTAGCAAGGATCAAACCCACAGCGAATGATCAACCATTAGAATCACTTGATCGGAGTTCAGTGGTACAATTTTAACTTCAATCACTTTATGATATAGTGCTACGATCATATAATTCCACTGAGAATAACAGTGCTACGTTTGATGAACAAAGCTCCATAAAAAACTCTTCAACTGAACTATGACAGTATTTTCTTTGTTAGCATTGGTTGTGATTTGAAAGCGAATTTATTGATTTGGTGATCAGTTATGGTAATATTTCACAATATAACCTATGACTATAAACCGTTTATCATTATCAGTATTATCATTAGTACCTCATTGTAATCTTTTCAACTGCAAATCAATAATTGTTAGTTTATCTTTCATTACATAATAAACAACATGTTGCACAATTATATTATGAATTTTACCATTTATTTTGTTGTTCCATCATGTAATAAGTTTAGATTAATAGGATGAACGGTGAATGGGTATTTAGATGATTGAAATGAATGAATTAAGTGCTAATCGATAAATGAACAAAACAATGATACGATCTGATTGATTGATGTCTATTCAAGAGACCCAATTATTAATTGATATTCAAGGCAAAATCACTAACGAGAAGAAGAGGTTATCGTTGTTGTTGGTTTTTTACATCTAATAAAACAGTATGCATATTTATATACAAATTATTAACAGAAATAAATGAACAAGATTAGATTTCATAAGCGATTAAATGAAATCACATTTGTGTAGGTCATCATTCAATCACTATTCAACAAATTAAAACACCTAACTGTTAAGCCTAATTCTTAGTCCCTATTAATAATTTAATAAGAAAGTCTTCATGATTTTTTTCGATCATTTAACTCATCAACTATACAAATGATTATTAACAATTTGTATACTAGCAAATTGAACGATAAATCAAGGACAAAGACCATTTATATTAACTTGATGTTGTTCACTTGTATCTTCCGGTTGTTATTTAGGACTGCAAGTGATCAGTATCTTGTTGGCATATGTGCATCTTTAGGTCACAAGCTTTATAAGCAAAGATGGATAGTGGCTAGAAGTAGAATCCTAAACGCGAGTTTTGTCCCATTTGGGACTCGTTAACTGGATGTACCTGTATCTCAGAAATGATGTTTACTCTAGGAATTGAATTCAATACCGTTTGCTTTAAACACCATCGCGTTAACCACTCAGAGTGAACAGCTAAAAATTGCTTTGTTTCTTTTCTCAAAAAAACTGATTTTTATCATGAACTAACATCAGATAGAAAATTATTATAAGATATTTCAAAATGATCGTGTTTTATTGAATATCATACACAAATTGATAATCAATGTATAGGGATCACTGCACAGTAAAATGAATTATATCATGGTCGATTTGACACTCCCAAGTCATAAATGCATACTATTGAAGAATCCTTAAAATTTACATAAATCACACTAGACATTTGAACAAGACATTGTTCTCTTAGGTTAAAAATATATTAACAGTGTAGAATCCCCATGCTTTGTTAATCATGTGTAGTTAAACCTTCTTGAAATCCCTAAATACAAGATCAACTATTATCGTTTAACCTGGCGAGATGAACCAATCAGATTTAAGATAACAGGTCTTGGATTTTAGTGCGAAATTCATTCATCCATTTAGCTAAATGGCGTTCCGGCATTTTAACTGATTTGAGTTCGTGATGAAAACCCTATACCTGGTTGCTAACTTTAACTATCAACTGTAAATCATAATCTTTATTATTCCTACAGGTCAATAACCCTCATTTAGCTCTAGTAAATAGGTGGACATTCTCAAGGTCACTTTAGTGTTGCTCATAGGTCGTCCATAAAGTATACTCTTACCTTCGACTTTAGTAAAAGTGAATTATTTATGCCTTATTTTTAATCAGTTGGACATATATTTGAGATTATTGTTTCAACGATCCTCATACCAAAGAGATCATTTAGTGTAACTAAATATGTTTAAATTGATAGTAGAAACTTGATTAAATGAAACTAAATTTATAAATACCTCAATCAAATTCTTTATAACATTTAATTTATGGTAAACAAAAGCATTACAATTTGTAATATGTATATCAAATATATGACTTATTATTAAAATAGCAAAATTTCATAATTAACATTCATTACAACAACTTACTACTAACAGAATGAGAAGAAACGTCATCACAGGAAAAATTCTGATTTAGCTCAGTTGAGAATCTGGAACATGATGAAATTGATCCACTATGATGATTTCTTGGAAGATTATGATTGACAGCTTCATGAGTTATTAACTCTGTCTGAATTGGATGAAAGTATTATGTAAATTATGTATTAACAGTAAGAAAACAATCACCAGTGACTAATCAAAATAGTCTTTTAATAATTCACAGTATTTAACGAACAAAATAAGAAGAATAAATTAACATATAAAGAGGGATTAAATGGAAGTTTCTATAAAACTGATAAAATCTTATTTCTGACAATTATTTCATCTTCTCTATGAAATAAAGTAGGATATTTTTGAAGTGAGGTTTGTAAGTGTTTGACCTTTTTGACATAATTGTACAATGGCTTGGAAGAAAATAAAAATATATGTCTAATCCTCTTTCAGACTCATCAGCCGGATATATCTGCATTCCAGTGTTGACGCGATACATTGAAAGTCGAGCGCAGTATCTATATTTATCATCATCAACGCATTTTCCAATAAGGTACAGAGAGCCATTGACTTTTACAACGGATAATACGTTTAACTGTTTTATGCTATACCCCCGTCGAGTTTCAAACAATATCGAGGCATTACCTTAGAATTTGCATAAGCTAACAAAAACTGATAGTTGTTCAGTATTAAATATCAACAAACGGACACAACTTATAAGACTTAAGGCTGTCAACGATATGCTGTCTTATTAGAGCACCAACTGTGTTTTATTTGAAGGGATTCTGTGGATATAGGTTTAGTTCGTCGATAGTATTCGTCACTGATTGATATGATTTAGGGTGTATTTGAAGACTAAGGAAGACTAGACAACTGACTCATCCTAAAGTGGGACTCAGCAATGCACACCTATTACACCACCATGCACCAAACACAAGGTCTTCAGGGGCCCCATGATAGGGTGAGAAATTAGCCCAAGACGAATACCTGCACACATCAATAATGTATTATTCATTGAGTTCAGCTGATATAGTAACCTGACTACATACTGAGTTAATAATATATGAATAGAGCATTGTTATCTATTGAGATACCAAATATTCCTTCATCTTGCTACTGAATTGTGTGAGAATCAACAAAATATTAGTGTATTGAGTGGAAGAGCAATGTTTAACTCATCGAAAGACAGCCGTACTGGAATTAAACTAGTGAACCTGCTTTAGCTCTGTAATAAGTTTCACTTCGTAGCATGTCATAAATTATATATATATATATATATATATATATATATATATATATATATATATATATATATATATATATATATATATATATATATATATATATATAGTAAATTGCATGTTTCCATAGACTATACTCATCTCTTGTGCTATGACAGGAAAACTGGCTTATAAAATTGTGAGATGATGTGGACTTGCAATGAAGTAATCAACTTTATAGAAACAGAAGCTTACTTCTTGAATCAATGTGTTCATTTAAAATACCTAAGTGCTTAGTTATGGGCAGATCTAAAAAACATGAAAGGTTTTACAAGCAAGATTGTCAATACTTGGTATTTATATTGTTTTAACAATCGCACACACTATGATGAAATCCACTACCTTTCGATACCCTCACCCATCAGTAAACAACTATCACTGTACCGAAAACAGATTACATAGTAAAAAAACAGTGAAATTCTTATGTCTGCTTTAACAGTTTTGTGGATACTTAAATTATTCCAACAGAAACAAGGGTTTAACTTATTCCATTACGTGATGTAATCGGTGACTTTATGTAAAAAATGATGTCAATTCCTTTGCACATCTGGTGTATGAATTCTCTTACACTCATTTGAAATGCTTTTGGTTTTAGTGTTCCAACATTCGCATGTTTATTAATTATCTAATATCAAGATTGTCCATTCCTAAACTGTTTTACTGAAACTACATAATGTAATCATTCAAGGTAACACACGATCTATTAACAAGTGAACTAATATGATTCATCTGACAACAGTATTATATACACAGTTTTGAGCAACATGGTGAGACTACAATTTATGGACGACCTATGAGCAACATTAAAGTGACCTTGAGAATGTCCACCTATTTACTAGAGCTAAATGAGGGTTATTGACCTGTAGGAATAATAAAGATTATGATTTACAGTTGATGTTTAGGGTTAGAAACTAGATATAGGGTTTTCATCACGAACTCAAATCAGTTAAAATGCCGGAACGCCATTTAGCTAAATGGATGAATGAATTTCGCACTAAAATCCAAGACCTGTTATCTTAAATCTGATTGGTTCGTCCATAAATTATAGTTATGCTCCTTTTATTGCTTTAATACCTAGAAATTATCATTACACGCTCACAGTTGGAAATCGAATCCGATTCTATTTAAAGCACATCAGAATACAAAATATTTATTTGACTAACAAATCTCAACAACCATGCACACTGTTTTGTAAGCTAGAAGACCATGCAGTCACATGATCTCTGTGATAGTTAATCATTTTATCAGTTAAATGGATCAAACCTAACCGTACTAAGTGATTTTTGACAAGATCAGAGAGAGATGTGTGTAGCTTAACTTTCACGCTATCCAGCAATGAATAATATGTACATCATTAAAACGTTGAATATGCATCATTAGATGATAGGTCTACAAAGTGTTGAATACGGTAGTATAGACAAATACTGCATATAGTGAACTCATTTATCCATGCATAAATATATTTACACTAACATTTCTGTTAACAGTACCCTTATCAGTATCTTCATTGAATTTGGTGCGTTCACTTTGAGACAAGGATTGTATAAACAAGGGAGACTTTATTCCGGATATGAAGCAATTAGCTTTCTCACTAAAAAAAGGAAAATAAGCACCAAGATACACAAACTATTATGATGATTTTTTTTAAAAAAAGCTATCAAAAGAATTGTAGGACTAATTAAAAGAAATGTAACCGAAATATAAAATTTGCACCAGAGAAAAACCTGATTAACTGTAGTGGATTTTAGAATTATTTAATTACTTTTCCTGAGGAAATATGTCTGGCACAGTAGAAGACTCAAAAAAAACATTTTATTATAAGCTAGAATTGACTAAAGAACCACTAGAAACTAGTCATATGCAATGTAAGACCTAATGTAAATATAAATTGACTTAAGTTCTCATACCATGTCTGTTATAATCTCTCTTTCTTCTTACGGTTAATGACCCAGCTATTCCTATTGCTTAGTATTCTCGGACACCGATTCACTCGACAAGTCCCCAAATCAGAACACGGTTGAACAGGAAAAGATTATATTCCAAATAGCAAGTCAGAAGCCAGTAGGAAGCACAATAGGGGAAAACGTCGGTATATTTATAGTTTTTACATAAGAAGATTCCAGAGTATTCTCCGACTATCGACTAGTGCTGATTGGATAAGAATCAGCGTGCACCAAAACAATCATGCATTGAGCATGCTTTAATCTAGTCTATGTCCCCCTAACAATGTCATTATGGCAAGAGGAAATTAATAGGATGATAACCAAAATAGAGAAGTTACTAATGTCAGAAATCGTAAGAAATGATTAAGAACACAGAATATAGCTGAAGATGAGGGAATGAGTTCATAGAGTGAAAATTGTGGGCTAATAATGAAGTTCGAAATCTATAAGTAAACAAAGAACAGATGTATCCGGCCATCAAGACCGGGTTCGTGCCATATTATCCAAAGTCAACAACATTTAATCATGAATATCGCCCGGACCCCAAACAAGTAGAAGTATGTACCTACCAACGCAGCATAGAAAAACAGTAGAACTATTGAAAATGAAGCGGGAGAGCCAAGGTGCTAATAAACAACGACATATTTTCGTATTAGGCAGTAAGTAAGAGTTGTTGATCACTTTACGACTTTTATCTGGATTCTTGACTAATTACTTCGTATAGGAAGTAACTCTGTTCCATTAATGACAGCTAGTTAAATTTGAGTTTCCTAATCCATCAGATCAGAAAATATGTTTTCACTCACTTAAGTCGCAGTAATGTTTACCGATCGATTACACTATAAGTTCGTACAGTTAGCTGATGTAGTGTCAGTTAAGTTAACAAACGGATTTAAGAAAATTTTAGATAATAAAGCATGTATTTGCGAGCTGTTTACTTCTCCAACTGTAACCCTTCTAGTGTTACTGACGTTTCTATTCCAAGGTAAACGAGGAGGGTTGAGCATGGAGTCATTAACCCCATCTTGCAGAAAACAACTTTTCTAAAAAACACTAACTAGAAAAAAATTGAACCATTTAAACACTGTCCCGGAAGTTGAAGGGTCTTCATTTAGAAGATTTATGTCGCCTCATGGTGAAGGCCGAAATTCTTCGGAAGTCACGAGGCCGATACCCGTTATAACAACCAACGCAACAATTAATTTAGGTACATGGAATGTTTATTGGGAATTGGAGGCAGACATCAAAAGAATGATTAGCAATTCAAAACACCTGGAAAAGAGAGCCCAGAACGCATTTGGTTGGAGATTCCTGATCGGCGGCCTATGCCCCAACGAGGTGTAATACGAGTACTTAGGTAAGTTTATGACAGGATGATGGTAAAGCGCAAGCTGATGTCATATATATATATATATATATATATATATATATATATATATATATATATATATATATATCAGTATTACTTAGTTTTATTTTATATTTACACTCATTTGTTTAGTAGAGTTTTTCCTTTGTAGTTTTATCGTTATTCACCTACTACACTTTTGGCAAGAAAATAGAATGTCTTCATCACTCTACCATTCAGAGGTTAGTCGAATGGTCTTGTGTTGAAACAAAGGCTCAAATCAATTATTAGAAAAACGTGCTTTGCAGTAAGAATCATTATTTTGGAAAAAAAGGTCTATGACTCACTGAAAACTTTAACGGCATATTATCCCACTCTTATAAGCAATTTACATGTGTGTGGTCAAACATACATAGGGACGAGTATTCGTGATTTGCAAATTAGGGTTTCTGAACATATACTCAAAAGACTGCAAAAACCAATGAAATCAAACAACCTAATAAGATGAGATGGTGAACATCTATCGTCTTCTATAGCTAAACGCATAGTGAAACAGGTCACATGACCGATCTTAACTCAGCTTTAGTGGTGTTGCACAAGTGTTTAAGGGTAAATACTTGGGTTTATCAAAGCTTTGGTCATACGAAAATTCAAACTCATTTTATGCATTTGAAAAGTTTTTTCTCAATCTAAATCTACTACGGAAATATTATTTTCTTATGTAGCGTGGTGAGTTTGACATTGTTTTTCACATTAATTTCTTGATTATTATCTTTGTTTCCTCCTACCTTCCATTTGTTTAGAAGACCATTTATTTATTACCTATATATGCTTCTAACAAGTAAATGTGATCAGATTGTTCAAAATGTATTGCGCTAATATGTCACATAGTTCTGATAATATTCGTCTTCTTACTACACTATCCATATTTATCGAATGACCTTATTACTTCATACACAAAATTCAGGTTCTAGAGTCTAAGTCAAATTTCCTTTTGTCCCGGCAGAAAACTAGTAGATAGTGAGTGAATTGAAGGCAACCAGAACACAAAAAATACAGAGATAACGAAAATAACTGGAGAATAGAGTGACGTCGTGTTATATTTCGCTTAACATACGTGCGCAAACCAGGAAGTAAAACAGTGATACTAACGTTTACTTTAAAATGTTTTAAGTAGAATTATCTGGTGTTACAATATAATAATTTATTAAGCTCAAAAATTAGCGAAAATAGTAGACGATCTCGACAGAACTATGACTTAACCAATGACCAGCATCCAAGTTTAAAAGCCTGACACCATAGAAAAAATATGGACAACAATGCTTCAAGAAATAATCACACGAACCTTCGTTAAGATGTGACTTTGCCATATGGTAAATGGTACTAAGTCCGATGCTCTCGCTCTGGTTATCTGATAACATAACCATTGAAACCATACGATACGAAAATATTGGTAACAAAACATCTATCTGTGATGATACCGTAGAGTTTAACCTGCGTATAACAGTCAAGCAAGATAACCAGTGAAAAATGAATACTTGTGGAAACAAGTGAGCTTACAGAATTTTAGTCAGTAATTTCAGAAAATAAAAATTCTATGACATTAGTACGATCATAATGGGAGCTAGTCATTTCTATGAACGGAAACCAACTAAAAAAATTCTGAAAATTCGAACTGTTTGTATTTAAAACATGAACCACACCGTACAAGTAAACCAACATACATGTCTTCTTTTGTTATCCGAGTCCCATCGAGAATACGTAAATTTGACAACCAGCCCAAGACAAATAATCTATAGTTGTTTGCACTAAAAAATTAATGTTAAGGTAAAACTGTTAAAAAAAGTTAAAGTAAATCTCAATGAATAAGATAAAAAGGATACAATGATTCGATGCACGGATTATTTCCTAAAGAAAACTGAGAAAGCATCGGCAAGCACGACAACTCTTGAACCTTCAAAGTCGTGATTAGAATACAATCTTACTTCCAGAATATTGGAGACCATATTACTGGCTAGAGACAGTATTTCAAGTGATTTTGGTAAATTTTTCGATCCATCATGTAGAGTGCTAATGTGGTTGCAATGTAAAAGGAGAGTCTGGTAATGTTATATATTGTACCGAAATATACCTTCAATTTTTTCAAGTGAGATAAATTTTGAAGTTCGTAAATATAATTGTCAGATAAATCCAGATGTTTTAAGTTCAGATTAGTGTCCAGCTGTTCAATAACCTAAAGTATTCTCAACTACCACATGCTCAAATCACCTTAAGTTTGTTTCCTGATAGATTAAGCCACCGCAAGTTAGTGAGCTTGGCTAAACCTTAAGGTAATTAAAATTCACAATAACAAAAGTTATAAAAATACCATCCATTGTAACGATACCGTTATTAGGTAAATTTAGAATTGTTAAGTTTATTAGCCCCGCTACCCCATGCATCTGAAGTAACTTGTTGTCTGCTACTGAGAGCTGAAACAGATCAAGTCTAATATAACTCATACTTGTTGCAAATCACACAAAGTTGATAAGTTCTCCAAGCGACGAATATAGTTATGATCCAGGATTAAAACATTGATATTAACTGGCAATGTGTCAATGGTTTCTATACCAGATCTAGCGATATTTAGTGTTATTTCGCCATTTGGTCCTATAAATGTTGGGAGATCTTGGAACCCTCGTCCAAGCAATTTATACATTTGTTGACAGATTTCGGAAAATTCACAGGCCCAAGGTCAAACAAGTTATAGCTGTAAATGACTCATACAACTAACGACTTTCACTATCCAATATTTTCGTATGAGCTTACATGAAACGAATAATTATTTTTAATTCGCTTATTTATTGGTGGTTTTGAATATTTTGCGATCTGAGTAAATGAATTCGTCCTCAGACAGTAGCTTTTATGAATATTAACAGCTATCACTTTACCGGGTAAAGGGTTGGATAGTTGCAAGGAAAAAAATTAAGAAAACATTCAGATGCTGAGCGATGTATGTTTCAGGAAACATCAAGAAAATAATTTAAATACATGATAATGAAGACTATGTGAGAAAACCAGAGTGCGAGAATGAAAGGTTATCCGAGATGCTGACAGGCGGCATAAGAATGACTGAGGATATGCGATAATAACAGATAGATAGATGGGCTATGATATATGCATCGGGCACTGTCATTTCGAGTTGGTCATTGTGTGAAAACATAAGACGCTGTTCATGACTCAGGCTAAGGTTAACAGCTTGACATTCTTGATATTCTTCTGTGACATTCCAGAAAGCGACCCATAAATCCTCATCCATGCGGACGATCCTAAAATTTAGGCAGCTGGGAAAGTGATTCGAAAAACGTCCGAGGAAATTCAGTTCTGTTAAAATGATGAACACAAAACAACCATTTTACATTCAAATTTGAACCTTTTTCGATAACCTCATCTCGAGATACAGAATAGAATAAAACAGATTACTTTCTCCGTGATAAGTGTCTTCACGGAACAACGAAGGATGGTGATATGGGTCTGCTATTAACAGATCATCAAATATCATCACTCTTTCTTATACCGTCTGTCGGCATCTCGGATAACCTTTCATTCTCGCACTCTGGTTTTCTCACATAGTCTTCATTACCATGTATTTAAATTATTTTCTTGATGTTTCCTGAAACATACATCGCTCAGCATCTGAATGTTTTCCTAATTTTTTTCCTTGCAACTATCCAACCTATTACCTGGTAAAGTGATAGTTGTTGAAGATGACGCAAGTATTCAGTGTTTGACAACGTAGATAGGATTTCCTTCTAAATACGCTGCTTTGAGGCGATCGATTCTGATGCTATCGTTGGTTCCGTTCTTATCGATTATATAGTACTTAGATTCACGTTGAAGAACTTTGAAAGGTCCTTCGTATGCTGATTCGAATGGTCATCGATGCGAGTCTCGACGAATGAAAACGTGTGTACTATATCGTAAGCTAGATTGAACGAAAACATCAGTTGATTGAGGTCGAGTGGAAGCAAGTTTAACTGAACGCATTGCGTTTGTAAGCCCGTTCGTGTAGGAGGTTAGATCCATGTTCATTGAAGAGGACGAAGGATCCACGAATTCTCCTGGAAGTCGAAGTGTCGTTCCATAAACGAGTTGAGCCGCAGTGCATCCAATGTCAGCTTTCACTGCATTGCGGATACCTAGTAAGACGAGTGGAAGAGCGTCGGTCCACTGTGAAACGTTTGCAGCTGATAGTGAAGCTTTTAGTTGTCAGTGAAAGCGTTCTACCAACCCGTTTGCTTGTGGGTGGTAGGCAGTCGTTCGGAAGCGAGTGATTCCTAGAAGTGTGGTCAGACGACGGAAAAGTTCAGATTCAAACTGACGTCCACGATCTGTAGTGATGGTTGAAGGGCAACCGAAGTTTGCTACCCATCGTTCGACGAAGGTACGGGCCACTGTTTCAGCAGTGATGTCCTTGATAGGTACTGCTTCTGGCCATCGAGTGAAACGGTCTACGCAGGTTAAAAGATAAGAGTATCCATTTGAATCTGGTAAAGGTCCTACCAAATCCAGATGAACATGGTCGAAACGAGCATCGGGAGTTTTAAACGAGCCTAAGGGACATTTATTGTGTCTGATAACCTTAGATTTTTGGAAGCTTACACAGGAACGTGCCCACTCCCTCATGTCTTTATTCATTCCAGGCCAGCAAAACCTTTCTGCTATAAGCTTGATGGTTGCACGAACACCTGGATGCGAAAGTTTGTGCAATGTGTTGAAGACATTGCGTCGATAATGTTTCGGCACGATTGGGCGATCCCTACCTGTAGATGTGTCACAAAGTAAGGTTTCGTTACCTGTTCCCATCTGTTTGATGCTTAGTTTAAGTGTTGTGGACGATAACTCGTGCTGAAGATCAGTGTCTTCTTTTTGAAGCTGGGCGAGTTTAAGAAGGTCAATTCCTTGGAAACTGTTCAAGGAAGTTATACGAGATAAAGCGTCTGCAACTACATTGTTTGCTCCAGAGATGTGTTGAATGTCTGAAGTAAACTGCGAAATGTAGTCCAGTTGTCGAGACTCACGAGGAGAGTACTTGTCTGAAGGAGAGCATAGAGAGAAGGTGAGTGGTTTATGGTCGGTGAAAAGAGTGAATGCACGACTTTCGATGTACTGTTGAAAATGTCTTACAGCACAATACATAGCTAGGAGTTCCCTACCGAATGTGCCGTACCTCGATTAGGTGTCTAGCGACCGTCTAGAGAAAAATGCCAATGGTTGCCAGAAGTGGTTAACCCAATGCTGTAAGACTCCGATTGCTGAGTCGGATGCGTCTACTGCGATGCTAATGGGTGCTCGGGTGTCCTGATGTGCAAGCATTAATGCTTTAGCGATCATTTCCTTAACTGTGGAGAATGCGCGTTTCGGTATGAAGCGTCCATAGAAACTTATCAGGCCGTTAAACGTTTGTAATTGCTTGACGGTGGTCGGTGCTGGGTAATCCAGAATGGCCGCCACTTTGGTCCTAAGGGGTGGAATACCTTGAGCATCGATAGTGTGTCCCAGAAAGTCTAATGAGTCGGTTCCGAATTGGCATTTCTGAACGTTTACAGTTATGCCATGTTTTTGTAGTCGTTCGAAAACAAGATCCAGATGCTTGAAATGTGTTTCTCTGTCCGGACTTGCGATTAGGCAGTCGTCAACATACGCATGTACGAAGTCGAGACCTTTGGAATGTTTGAGCAGCATTTCGTAGACCGAAAGGCATTCGCAAAAATTCATAGAGGGAGTTATGATAGCTGTTTTCGGTATGTCGTCAGTAGCCATAGGGATTTGGTTATACGTTTTAACCAAGTCGATTTTCAAAAAGACAGTTGTACCTTTCAAGGTAGCTGTCAAATCATGAATGTGAGACAACGGGTAACGATCTGGAATGGTTTTCGCATTAAATCGCCGATAGTCACCAGTTGGACGCCAATCGTTGCTGTCCTTTTTAGGGACCATGTGCAATGGAGACGCATACGGGCTATTTGACGGTCATATGATTCCTAAGTCTATCACATGGTTGAAATCGTTTTTCGCTAACCTTAGCTTTTCGGGAGCTAGTCGTCGTGCTTTAGAGAATACAGGTGGTCCTGTAGTCGTGATGTGATGTGTAACATTACTGGTTACACACGGTAGTTTCGGTTGAGTTTGTTGTATCCCCGGGTACTTATCGAGTAGTGGCTGATAAAGTGGGTCGATCATATGCTTAACTGTGACTGGGGATAACCTACAACCAGTGAAAGAAGTTACGCAAACGGACAAATTAGTGTTTCCGTCTACTAGCCTCCGTTTGCGCGTGTCGATGATAAGATTATGGTGTTGTAGAAGGTCCATACCAATGATTGGCATAGAAACATCTGCAACAACGAAGATCCAATGAATGGGCTTGCGTAAACCCACGCTAAGGTTAACGTACCTTTTGCCATACGTACGCCTGTAATTTTAGGGTCGATTCTTGAAGTCGGTCGTTGGAATTCGCTGAGAGAATGCTTACTTCTGCATCAGTGTCGACGAGGTAGCGAACTATCGTTGTCACATCTGTGACGTATAACAGACGGCTATGTACGCCGGCTACGGTTGCCGTTAACGCGTGCCGGCTTGGAAGTTTCCTGAGTTGTTTTACGAGTCAGTCGTTTTCGTGTTGGGAAAACTCCAGGGTTTTATGAAATTTCTGTAAGACTTTCCATACTGGTTATGATACCAGCACCAGTCGAGGTTATCCGTCTCTCGTGGTCTAGAGACAGATCGCTTACGTGAAATGCTTCTACGTGGGGTGCGCGAGCGATTACGGTCGGTACGAAGACTAAGATAACGCGTGAGTGTGTGACATAACTCGGTTATATCATTTTGAGTCGTGTGAGGCTTTTCTTTGACTGAAAATACCTCGGTAGTAGAGGATTTCGTAATTTCTAAGATATGATCGGCGGATGCAGCCAGTTCGTCTAAGGCGTTGTTCTGAAACGAGACCAGAACCGCTTGCACCTGTTGGGGAAGTTTAAACAAGAAGAGTTGTTTGAATAGACCTTCGTCGAAAGTTCTTGGACCTATAACCTCTCTCATTCTTTGCAACATGTCCGTCGCAGAACCGTGCTGCAGGACTATGTCATTAAAGAGTTGATCTAACCTTTGTCGATCGGTTAGGTCTCCTCGTTTAAGAATCGAACGTTTTAAGGTTTCGTAAGGCTCAGAAACATGACTAGTAAACATACTAGGTGTTACGTACCTGTTGAATTCGCGCGGTGGTGCCTTGACTACTGCGAGGAATTGTGCACGTGTGTCGATCACGCCGTGCTCGTGGAAGTTGGCTTCTGCGTGGCAGAACCAGGCTTCGATGTTGTCGGGCCAGAAAGGCATGAGTTGAAACGGAGGTGGGTACATGGTCTTAATCTTAAATATTTTAGGGGTCTGTTCGGTCATGATGAAATATGAAGAACGCTAATGAACGAGGGGAAAAAATATATATATCCAAGAAAGCACGCGGAAAAAAATCACAATGTATAAAAAATAAGAAATAAGGCAATAATATATAAAAATCCCAAAAACGAACAGACTCACAGTTGCTATTAGGTGCACCAGATCACGCCGGTCTCACCAATGATTTTGTCACAGGTATTCAGTGTTTGACAACGCTTTCACCAGCAACACCTAATATTGTTTGTACCCACCGAGAGAAATCAAAAGACAGAGTCGAGGAGATCGGAAGAGTGTATTTGGCGACTACCAATATATCGGAATTCTCTGATCTAACCTGGCTGGCGATTGCGGTAGATGTTGAGCACGGCGTTAACACACGTGATCTGGTGCGGATGCCTGACCGAGCGCCTTCAACTAGATGAGTCCACTAAAACATATAGTCAACATCCAATGTCGAAAACTTACAGGGCTATTTAATTTGGAGATTTATCTACCGCTACACTGTTAATATTCATGAAAGCTACTGACTGTGGACGAAATCATTCAGATTATTAGATAAAGAAGCCGACAATTAACTAAAAAACTGACTAGAATTAGTACAGTGGGGTGACTGGATCACTACTTATTGTACATTATTGGAAACTTGCATTAATAGAGAAACAAGAATAAGCAAATGCAAAGAAATCACTTGTTTCATGAAAACGCATCATTAAGATAGCTAGAACTGCGGTGTATATGGTTTCCTGTATTTAATTGCTGTCCATAGAAAATAGCTCATTTCATTCTGCTGCTCTAGCTGTTCCTTTACGTCATAAAACAGGACACTCAACAAGAAATCCCTATTAGTGAACTCTATTCTTCAAAAATGTCAATAAAAATGGGCATCTCTTACCTCCACACACTGCTTTCTAACAATGAAAAGTGGATTATTCCACCGCAAACTTACATCCGCCTTCATAAGCTTTTATTTTCAGTACAAACTTAGGTGAGATTCATTAGAAAAGGTTCCATCACAGTCTGTGTGTAAGACAATTATTTGAATATCATCCACTGTAGCCCTTTCTCTTGCAGTGAGAACTTAATTCTCAAATTCGTGACCTGCTTGATGACCACTGGTTTTCAAATAGATCTTCACCTTTCTAAGAGACATAGAGTAACATGATAAATTACCTTTCTCCTAGATGTAATAACTGTTAATAGGGCTATCAGACTGATAAGTACCAGATGTTTAAGTCTAGCTTCATAATCAGAAATAACAGTGCCGCCCCTCTAACTTTGGAGTATTTTGACCGCTTTAATTACATATCATACTATTGGCTTGAGAATTACATCAACTAACGACCCCATAACAATGGTAAAATAGATTTCATCTGGACTTGTAAAATTTAAGATGTTTGAAAACTCCTTTTTATATTGAACGCTAGATCTGTCGGCAATCATCCTTCCCTAGGACCGACAGCTGGTCCCACCTATTAGCATTCGAAAACAATAAGTGAGCGTTGAGACGGATGTATCCTTACCAACACCATTAGCTGCTCGTTCCATAAGACCTCTTTGAGATACAAGTTACGGGTCTCGCCACTTTTGTTTTAATTATAAAGATTTTTAATTAGTGGCTGAAAGGTGATGATGTACCACCTTATCTTAAAAGAATAATACGGACGCATGTGACTCAAACAAGATATTTCCTTCCTCGGTTTTCGCTTTCGCAAAGCCATTCCGAACATTAACTTGGTGGAAGTTCAAGTAATTTGCTTTAGTGGTCATAGATGTACAAAAATCCCCAAGTCTTGCTTTAAGCAGCTAGTTGATGTCTTTAACGCAGTCTACCGGAATGTCAGGCCGAGACCGTTGTGATGTGATGGCAGTGTGGTGTATGGTACTTACATCGACAGACATAAGTAGTATGTAATACCAACCGGTTGTCAAGTGCCTATAAAAAGAAAGGTTGAGAAGGTTGCACTGAAAACAGAAAGGAATTGTGAATTGGAAGATTCATGATGTAAAGGATGGTTGGTGAGAGATCAGCAAACGAAGTATTTTATATATGGCTTTTCACAATTTGCGAAGTAACCCTGTAATTTTACATTAAATTACCTATCCCAAGTCTTCTTTCATTATAGTAGTGTCTTGTGTGCTGTATGCCTTCGTAAAAACTCTGTCCAGCATTGCCTACAAGACACTAGGTTGGCACTTCCTTTTACGTAGTGGTGAAAACCTATCACAGAACCAAAAATCTTAAGAGCTAAACAAACCGCCATGATTCAGCAGTATGTGTGGCAACGCAATAATACTGTCGTCGGCCTCAGTTATTATCCTGACAAGAACTGTACGGCTGCTACATCAAACTACTCTATTGTAACTCTCCTAGTTGGATGTAATCACCGGATTTCCTACCTAACACAAGTCCTTTGATTGATCTAAAATCATATCACATAAGACATATCACACATAACATGGAAAAAAGCAAACTACTTGAAGTTCAAAGTGAAATAACACAGAATAAAAAGACGATAACCGAAAAATTGCATGGAGAAAGCATATATTACAGATATTTTGAGAACATATATAATACATAGTATGTTTTGTTAAAAACTTGAAAACACACATACATGTAAAAATGAAATGTCAAAAGTACTTGCAATTCTGTACACAATTCCGAGCCTTGAATAAAAGAGCGAAATACAAATAACAGAAATCTAATAGCTCGTTTTTAACGGTATAAAACTCCTGTAATCATGCCTCAACGCCGCACATAACTTGTTCTCTATGCGATCGATAGGTTGATAAAAGTTCAGGCAATGGTGCATTACAGTCGAATACCTATATTAAAATACAGAAATCACATTTTATCGCGGCAATCATATGATTAAAAAAGACTGAGAATAAACTAATCGAAACGAATCAATGGAATGAGGTATGAAGCATGTTTGTGAGCACTACTTCTGAGTTGCTTGGTCACCAACGACAAAATATCACGAGTTAAATAGTTTAATAATCAGTTAATTCAAAATGTGATTTATGAAAAGGAATGTTAACGCCAAGATCTAATTAAGGGATTATCAATACTATGAATATTATTATTGTATAATTACATAGATTGGTTACTATGTATATACATTCCATTTATCACAGGCCTTCGGTTAAACTATTTTTATACGACTTAGTCTCCCTGATTTGTCAGTCTATCTAATTACATTTCGCCCCATTCACAGCCCATATTGGTTCGTTTACGTGTAATTTTCATGTTCCACTTCATGGTATGACGCGGTTCAGTATATTTTCATATAAATCCACGTATGTTTGAAAGATAATTGTAGTTGAATTTGGATGCTGACATCTTAGATTCAAGGTGAGGTATGGAGAGAAGCTAGAGAATAGTGGAAAAATAAGAACTTAACTGCACTGGCTCAGAATCAACGGTACTGGTGAGGCGTGTAACCGGTCAATACAATGACACTAGGTTACGGAGGAAATTACAGATAAGAGATGCACAAAAAATAGAAATAAGATCCATATTGGTGACTTGGTACGTAATACTAGACGGTGGTCTCCAAACTCAACAGAACATAACGCAACAAACTTCGTTTAGAAGTACGTGCTGGTGATATTGTTGGGAGAGCAATCACATACCGCCTCAGAGGTCTATATGTTACGCGTCCATTGAGATTTGAAGGTCATGGGTTTGACCCCCGGTGAAGGTCGTGGATGCACACTGATGATAGGTATTGTACTAGAACAAAACAACTAATTAGCTTATGTCGGAGTGTGACATCAATAAATAAGCATTGACTTGGTCAGTTAGGTGACAAAGGTTTCTTTACTTATATATAACTCCTAACTATTTATTCCCTGTACAACTGAATTTGACTGTAGTAGACTAGTCCCTGACAAAAATCATTTTGAAATAAAGTTCGGATATTTATGTTATTTATTGTTTTACTGGCAAAACTTAAAGAAACAATGACTACATTTTCATAATATTAAGGCGAAAAACAACATACCACAAGACAGAAGGCATCTAGTCAGATGGATCAGTTTTTATATTCAAATAAACCTTGTATCATAATGTGTTTGATGACTAAAATAGCAATGATTAATATCAGATGTAAATGTAACCTAAAGCACAATAATACCATTGATGTAAGCACTCACTAATAAAGGAGCAGGTAGCTGACCGAAACGGCGTTCAATTAACCAAGCTTCATGTAATTCATGCAAATCTTCAAGGTATTTCTGTATAACAAAGAAACCGAAATGTTTAGTGATGTATTTTTCGAATGGGTATACGTACACACAGTACATCATAAACTTGAAGAACAGTGTGAATAAAATGTGCATTACATAATCACTTAAAAACTGAAAACATAATCGCATAAATCTATAAGTTTTAAAGCCATGATGTATTACATAAGGAAGAATAACGGAGAAAAGCACATGCACATAGCGTATAACACGCTTTGCATCTAACAGGCAACAATAGCGTCATGCGCTACCCTATTTCCCTTAGCACATCAAGCAACTCGAACGCCACGAGAACACCATTAAGGTACATAACAGGCCATGTACTCCAATGGCAACGGAAAAAGGTGCAATAGAAGGAAATATGAGACAACTATATGATACGACGAAAAAACTGAAGAGGAAATATGGTAAACCAGAGCGATCAGTCAAGAACAAACAAGGCAAACTGATCGCTAAGATTCAAGAGCAGAGTAACAGGTAGGCCGAACATTTTACAGAACTTTTGGATACACCAACCCCACTGAACATCAAAGTAGCACCTACAGAACTTCCCACAGTTGTTTCCCCATCAACAATTGAAGAGATCAGCATGACCATCAAAAAGGTTTGGGAAAGCAGCAGGATCAGACAACATATCAACGATCAGTCAAGAATAAGCAAGGCAAACTGACATCATACGAAATTCATAAGACCGACTACACTACAAATTCCTGTATGGAGGACAGGTCACAGATGCACTCCAAGTGATGACTGGTGTCAGGTAAGGCTGCCTACTCTCACCATGAAAAGAGGAAGACCAAGGAACACATAGCGTCGAGAATCGGAGGCAGACACCAAGAGAATGAGTAACAATTGAAAACAACTGGAAAGGGGAACCCGGGACGCAGTTGGTTGGAGAATCCTGGTCGATGACACGTTCTCTATGAGGAGTAACAGATGTAAGGACATATATTACACCAACAGAAAAAAGAAAATGAATGAAAATCATAGTTGGTTAATAATTATTTTTGGTGGCTGGAAATTCGTGGAAGGGAACCTTTGTACATAAGTTCCCTGTTATTTCATAGTCATCAGTAAAAATAATTTTCAAAGAACTGATACTCTCTATGAGATTCAAACACACATTATGTTATCACAGTGTGATGGGAACGCTATTTCACCAAAAATATTGTGTTAAATTATTTAAAAAGAATTCCATTCATTAGCTTCCAGTGTCATTCAATTATAAATAATTATTTGATTCTTAATGTATTTCCCTTGTATTGATTATTTTATTATGATTTTATGTTTAGTGAAAATTCCTCAGCTGATAAGACTCTTTAATTAATAATCACAGAATTGATATCTAACTAAATTCTCGCTGTTATCCTAATATTTAGTAGATCTAGAGATACTTTACTAACAAGCAAATTTTTCGGCTGATAAGCCTATTGAAGGAGTAAGTTATTCACACTATTTAACTAAATGAGTAGTGACCATTGTTATATCTAGTTTTTAGTGCTAACTAAATTTCACTGATTAAATTTAAATTTAACTACTAATTCAAGCCAGTCGATATGACGATATGATTTACTTATTATAAGGCAAATTTAGGCAAACAACAGCACTCCCAGGACCTAATTCTTCTTTAATCTGATTAATATGTTTGAACTAAAACTGATAACTAAACACTAGCTACAACTTGATGACCGATTACTGTAGTAATGAGTTACTGTTTAATTAGATAACTTACTACTTAACCGAAATGTTTATAATTATCTATCGTTCCAACTGGGCAGCTACGAGAGTTCATGTAAAAGCCCGCACATAGAAGATACACAATGAGCTCTACACAGCACGATAACAATTTAACTTTAGTTAGTACGAAAATTAACTTAGAATTTGGTTTGCAGAATGTGAATTACAAACAAGAAACATTCGTAAAATTTTACTAACTGCGAATACCATTCAATCATTAATGAAAATGGTAAGATTAGACAAAAAGGATTAATATTAAGAAGCATGAAAAAGTGTCCTGTTAATAAAAATGAAACTTAAATAACAAATTGTTTTCACAAACAAATAGAATTGAGCGGTCAAACGAAAACGTGGCATCAGTCCTCGAAGTCACTAACTTCTAGTCTTAGCCATGTTGGCAGATGCAAACTACTTGGTTGGGGTCCGCGTGACTATCCTAACCAATTGGTTGGAGACTCTGGGTGACATGGCTCAGAATCGATCACAGTGGTGTAGGTGAATACATTCTCTCTTCCCTTAAACCGTGAGATTACAATTGCTTTATATCTTTCTTTCTATGAACTAATTCTTTCTTCCTGTACTATATCCTTATTGCAATCTTTCTTTTATATATTACCACCTCTGAATTAACTACTTCTATGAATTTGTTGTTCATCTTGTTGTGCTAATGCGATGTGGCAACTTGGACCGATGTATATATGTGCCTGGACTTACGTTGTAGCTGACTGATTGATTCAGAACAATTAATTGAGATCATTAGTTATCATTATATGATTTATCGATCATAAAATATCTAAATAATACATTTAACCTGATGAGAAACTCTTGAACATTTAAGATGTTATTAAAAAATCTGAAAAGACTTTTAAACAAGTCTGATACAAACACTAAAAAACGTCACCAGAACAAGTTGATTTATTACTCTTAGAATGATCAAACAGCTAACTTTTGCAAAAAGTCATCGCTAACGATGTCGTGTAAAACAATACAATGGATCAACCGAAATTCGTCAAATAAGAACACGTTGCACCAATCAAGTACCTATTAATAACAAGTACATGTTATTGGCCAAGAAACAGTTTCATTTTCTAAGGAATATATATATATATATATGCTTAATCTGATAAACTTCATCCTTCATTACTTTTCTCGCTCAGTGACAGGTTAAGGGCTTGTGTTTAAGTTTGATTATCTATATCGGTCTCAGACAGTGCGCAACATAATAGCTACAACGAAAGCTTAGTAATTTAACCACAATCCTGGAGAACAAAGTAACCAAAACCATGCACTTGAGTAACTAATCTTCTTCACTAGATAAAGCTAGACACTTTTGTGGACTTGAATTGAGAAGTTTGAAACATACACCTCGAGAGAGGTCAGACGATCATAAGATAGGACAGTAATTTCTGTTTTGATTTAAAGCTGCAGAACAACTAATCTAAAAGATAACGAACTGTTAGTAACTTTAGGTTAAAGACTAGAAGAAAATTAGTGGATTTTTCAAACAAATAATTTCAAAGATGATAAAGGAGTGTCGTGAATTAGTGTGAGTTTGTACGGCGAACATGATCAGTGGAGGGTAGTGAAATCAAAATCAGTTACCCTAAAGTGCAAGAATGATTGACCTGGAAAACTTAATGGAATGCGTATAGTCCAGAAAACTATCATTTCACTTAATTTACAGCAGCTCTGTATAAACGCTTTATTTAAAACTGTTACGTCCTCTACTTGATTACAGCAGAATACGATATAGAACTAACGGCAGAACGCCACAGACAGAAGAAACACGGGAGGTGATTACTGGGTAAAAAACAAAAATGTACAAAAAAACATGGGTATTTATAGTTATTAGAGTTGGCTATAACATCATTATAATTCAACCAATCCACAAGGAGGCAAGTAATGCTATCGTCTAATTGTGGAATGGCACGTTGATATTCCAGGTTATATCAGGTCCTGATTAGATGGAATATCCTTGGTTCCTTCATAACTTCTGGAGGCTTCGTCACGCTTTTCGAAGCCAACCCAACACCTCCTCAGAATAAGATTTCCTGCTGGGGTCCACTTGCAAATTGACACTGATTTACGACAGCGTTGGATTGCTTTCCTTGTCTTTCTTGTCTAAGTCTTCATTTTCTTATTCTTATTGTTATTCTTGGGCGTATCTGTGATTAACTCTAATGGTAGATTCGCTTGGCTATCTCCAGTGTGCATTGTTCTTTTATCTTTGTGGATTTTGTTCGTGCCTGATACATTTCCCAAAAGTTCCTCGGATCCTATACAAAACTCTTCCCAATCTTTGTACAATAATTCCTGGTTCCCATCGATTCTTTCCGAGGTGTGACTTGATGAACATTTTATGGCCTACATTAAAACTTCGGATATTCGAATTTTGTCTGTGCCCATCCACCGTTTTAGGTGGCAACACAGTGTACAAAGTAGTCCGAATCCCTCTAGACATGGCTTTCCACCAGGGACAGCTTTTATTTTTTTTATTTTAACACAGATATTCGTACAAAGAGGTACCAAACACACATGTGCCACACAAATCTCATTTGATATGTGTGAGGGTTGTGATACTGCCCGTGTGCCCAAACCGAAGCAGGTGGTTTTCTCATGAGGCCACACCCGGAGCCTTTGACCTGAAGGTCTCATCCACAAGGCAGTGGAGCATCGTTAGGAGATGCAGTCCTATGGTATCCGGTGACAAACGATTGGTTCATACGCTATTCGTTCTCTCGGGACCCTGGAGCCCATGTGCACCATTGGTTTAGAATCGGGGTTTCTCAACTTCCCTAGGTGTGGAATCTCCATGTCCACCAACCCGGTTAAAGCGCCCGATATTCGCTTTTCATCCTCTCAATTTCGTAAACAACACCCCCGCCACGAGAAGGCGATGAGTAGGACTTCCCTGGTAGAGGCTATATACGCGTGGCTATGTGAGAGCATTTCGAGTGGGAGGGCGGACTCTCCCCACTCTCGGCATTTTGGGGCACCAGGGAAAGTAGGGTTGGGAGTAGTTTTATAAGCTGTTAAAAATCTTATGATTACCTGACTAGTTATTCGCTCGCTTTCTCCTTTCAGTAGTGATCTTTTAAAAGCGTCGATGAAGCGTTCTGGATGTCCATTCAATTGGGGATGGTAGGCTGGCAAGCGAAGATGTGTTATTATATTCGTACTACAGAAGTGCTTGAATGAGTCCGAAATGAATTGTGAGCCAGTGTCTCTGGAACTCCGAAACAATTAAATAAAGCAGAAAACTTGTTGATTGTTTCTGTGGTTGTACAGTAAGGCGTGGTATATACTCCCAGTCACTTTGTAAATATATCCACAATAACTAGAAACCCTTTTCCTTGTACTGGACCGGAGAAATATGCGTAAAGTTTCAACATAAACGAAATCACAATTTTGTCTTCTATTTATCAGTATACGGTTGTGGAAACTGTTGAGTCTTATCCGAGTCCCGCATGCGGAATCATGGATGCTCACCGCTGAGCCCAGTGATTCCAGGTTTGCAAGGGTGGCCTGATACTGATCAGCTTATGATCTCAATAAAAAAAATTATCTGTCAATATTACATATTAAGTAGACTTATAAGCTGGGGATAAATTAACCGAACACAATGAATTCATTATATTCTACAAATGATCATCAACCAAGTCTTGTGAAAGCGATAATTTGCATCACATCTAGGGAAAATATTTATCAAGATCAAATGTAGGGATAAAATTTACCAAGGAAGCAAGAAGCACCATTTGAAATAGCATTGTACGATGTTATATGAATCCTAGACATTGAGATTTTCAGCTTATTTATGAAAATCAAGATAAATTATCTTAAAGAGTTTTGAACAAGATAAAGAAGTTGTAAACTGTCATAAAGCTGTAATATAAAAAGAGCATACGAGCAATCAAAATAAACATTACAACCCCCATATGAAGTAAGCGTATGAACAGTAATAAAACTTAACTATGTAACTTACAAGAGGAATATCTTCTTCACCAGAACGATTTCTAGCACGTAAACGCTCGAAGCAAACAGTTGGACTTGCACGTAAATATACTGAAGTTAATAGTAGAACAGACATTATAGAATGAAAGGATATATCAATTGTCACACTATGACTGATCCACTGAAATGCAATTCAAATCTATCAGGGTTAATGGTATCACATGTGTTTGAAATTTGTAAATTACAATTAAATACAAAGCTGTATATCTCATTAGTTTAACGGAGTATATTTTTGGAAAAAGATAAACCAGGTTAACAACTTTATTAACGAATGAGACAGACTAATGTCACACGTCAAGGAAAACCTAATCAGACTCGAAACATCATTATTCCTAGTTGTTTAGGCAAATTGACGGAAAGAATCATGATTGAAACTGAAAATTAAAAATATAAACCTATTTCAGAAAGTTTAATTCAGACAACCACTCAGTATCATTATCATAGTTAGTGCACTAAATAAAGTCAACTTTCATAACACTTAAACTGTAATCTTGTTTTCTCTGTGTACACGTCTAAAAATAATGTAGCTTTGACGGTTCTCTTTTTGGAAGAACAAAAGCCTAACATGAACATTAGTATTGATTATCATTAGCAGTATGTAAAACCAAATAAACTATGGTGAAAATCCGCTGGTTATACATACTTGATGAATGTAACATTATAGCCGTGATACGATTTTACAAGTTTTTTTAGTGGTTTAACACAACGGAATGACCAACTGGAAACCAGAAAACGATAGAATGATGTTTTACCTCATTTCAGACTTTTTAACAGAGCATATATACATTATTGAACTTGATTATTTATTTATTTGAACACATACACATTAGCACAATAGGGCACCAAATATATATGCGCCATACAATAACAATGAGGCCAGTAGTAGTTATCATTGATTTGCGTGAGAGCTGCAATATTACTTAGGTGTCTAAAACGAAACAGATAGTTTTCCTAGGGGCCCACTACCCGAGTCTTTGACCTCAAGGTCCAATCAAAAAGATGGCGGAGCAACATTAAGAGATAGAGTCCCATGGTAGCCGGTGACCAACAATAAATTCATACGTGATTTTGTTCCCTCAGAAGCCTGGAGCTTATGTGCACCATTGGTTTGGAATCAGGAATTCCAACTCCCCTAAGTGGATCCTCTATATCCATCAACCCGGTTAGAGCGTCGGACATTCACTTTCTGTTCTCCCAGTTTCGTAAACAACAACCTTGCCGATCTGCTCTGAGCCCAGACGTTTAGAACGATAGGAAGAACACTTTAAGGAGCAGTTCGGATGGCCTTCAAATACTTTATAGCTACCAACCATTTCCGAACAGCCTGAATGGAACATTGAAGTAGGCCTCTCGACTCTAATTGTAGTTAAAAAAGCTATAGATAATCTGACAATGATAGTCCGACAATGATAGTATTTCTTGACTTAGAAGCAGCATTTGACTCGGTAGACCGAGTGATTCTGTGGCAGTGTCTGTCATCGAAAGGTGTACATCAGGATTACATAAACCTTGTGAGGGCCCTTTACTCGAACACTACCAGTTGAGTTAGAGCTTATGATGAACTTTCATCTGATTTCGAAATCTCAAGTGGCGTTCTGCAAGGCTGTCCACTACATCCATTTGTTTAATTTCATCATAGACAAACTGCTGGAAATAACGTTCACGTTGACTAGATTGTTAGGAGTTGATCTCGTTCCAGGTGGTCCACTTATCGACTTAGAATACGCAGATGACATAGTCCTGTTTGGTGAAGACGCCGATAACAGTGAGAAACAACGCCAGGATGTTTGGAATGCATTTCTCCTTCTCTAAATGCAAGTTACTGCTTCAGGACTGGCCTGCGTCAACACGTGAACTAAGGATAGGGAATGAATTACTAGAACGCGTCGACAGCTCCACTTATCTTGGAAGTCTGGTCAACCCTAATGAGTTGGTGTCTGACGAAATCTCAGCACGGATTCAAAAATCTCGTTTGGCTTTTGCCAACTTACATCACCTGTGGGGAAGTCGAGGTATCTTTCTACCAAATAAAAGGATGAGTATACCACACGGCAGTTCGTTTTGTTCTACTTTACGGCTACGAAACGTGGCCATTAAGAGTAGAAGACACTCGGACATTACTACTATTTGATCACAGATGCCTCAGAAATATTGCTCGCATCTGTTGGGATCACCGGATAAGTGATAGTGAAGTTAGACGCAGGGTATTAGGGAAGGATGGTAAATCAGTTGATGAGGTTGTGAAACTTCATCTACTGAGACGGTTGGGCCACGTGTTGCGCATCCCTGAAGACCGATCACCACGACGCGCAATGCTGACCAGTGTTGAACATGGTTGGAAGTAAGTTAGGGGCGACCAAACGAAAACGTGGCATCAGTCCTCGAAGTCACTAACTTCTAGTCTTAGCCATGTTGGCAGATGCAAACTACTTGGTTGGGGTCCGCGTGACTATCCTAACCAATTGGTTGGAGACTCTGGGTGACATGGCTCAGAATCGATCACAGTGGTGTAGGTGAATACATTCTCTCTTCCCTTAAACCGTGAGATTACAATTGCTTTATATCTTTCTTTCTATGAACTAATTCTTTCTTCCTGTACTATATCCTTATTGCAATCTTTCTTTTATATATTACCACCTCTGAATTAACTACTTCTATGAATTTGTTGTTCATCTTGTTGTGCTAATGCGATGTGGCAACTTGGACCGATGTATATATGTGTCTGGTCTTACGTTGTAGCGGAATGACTGGCCCCTGCCGCGAAAAGACTGTGAGTAGGACTTCCCTGGCAGCCGTTGCATACGCGTGGTCATGTGAGAACATTTCGAGAGGGAGAGCTGACTCTCCCCGCCGTCGGTTGTACTAGGGCATTTTGGGGAACTGATAAAATCTATGGCATCTGGACCAGAAGATAACTATGCCACCAGACCACTGAGTAAGAATTCAACGGTACACATATTTAGTCTATCTGCGATCGAGAAATGGTAGTTATTTAATGTTACCAGTGAATCACCGTCTCATAGCATGGTTGGACTCAACAGGTTATAGTTTCTCTTCAATACTCTTGGAAGTGTTAATAGACAAGTCATCAGTGCGCAAGTGAATAGTAATTAGATAAGTCCTTCGTTTGTGAAATTTATGGATGTCATAGATCAACCTAACAAACAACCTCAGCTTTAAAGATAATGACACTCCACGGACACTCAAAAGAAGGTTTAAAACTACGCTAAATAAGCTCATTCTCCAAATCAAAGAGTCCTTTTGTGTAGAACATGTTTAAAACACGATTAGAAACTAGAAAGCACACTGTTAATGCCATTATCAACTATTAAGTAATTTACATGTATCTACCATAGCAGTTACACTGATGGATAAAGAAATGGGGTTTGAATTGTTTCTCTTGAAGTGAATAAGAACACTAAACACTACAATTTTCAGACATCTGAGTTACAGAAGACATATGATAATCCATTTGATAAACCAAATGTCAAAATATAATCTGTAAAGTTTAAGAATTGTGTAGTTTAGTTAATGGTTGCTCAAAGAATGAACAAACTTGAGCTGGAAGTAAAATATATGAAAACAACATGAAATTTTTTGTTACCTTAATTCTAAAACGAAAGAAAACAGTAAGATCTAAACACAACCTTCGTAAGAGTGGAACGAATGACTCTCAATGCAAATTCATAAACAGGTTATAATTCGAACTAATGAAGTTACCTCAACTAAAACATAGTAAAGTAGGTCATTTGCCGGAGTAATGCGAATATCTACCACTGAAAACAGTTCTGTATGCCACAAAAGATACAATTTTATCATAAAACCTTAAATTATTACCTTCATCCTAGGTGGAGATGGATGGTAGCTAGGAACGGAATCCAGGACGCACGTTCCGTCCTGCTCGGCACTTGTCAGCATGATGCACCTGCATCCAGGAATTGATGTTAGAGTGAACTGCTGAGCAATAAACTCGTCCTTTGGTTGGAAGACGGATATCTCATCTAAGCCACAAGTCAGGCATGTTGGCAAGAGCCAATCGATCCTTCTGAGTCCGTGTTGAAATTTAGTCAGACACTAGTCTATAAGGGCTGATGATACTTCCAAGATAAGTGGTATGTTCGATGCACTTAACTTTGACACACTATCATTAACTCAAGCGTCAACGCAAACGAATCCTAAACCAGATGTATGAACTAGAAATTTTCTTCATAAACTAGAATATACACTTACCGATTAGATCTACTGGTCCACTTTTATTCTTCAATATCCATTGGAAAATTTTGAGGAGCTCTTCATAGTCAGCATCTGAAATACTCCCACTATAAAGTGGAAATATGAATGTTTTTGTAGCACTAAACCATAAACTATCTACTAACTCCCATCATGTCAATAAACGGTAAATATAATACAGATATATTCTTGAAAGTTACAGGGAGGATAATTTCAAGAGGGATTATTTAGGGGGTCATTTCAAATCCAAAGATTTTTTCTACGCTGGCCTATACTTTGGCTTGAATCACAAATAAGACGAAAAAAGCTTATGAATGGTTGAGTTACATACTACATTTCATTGCTTACATGTTTTAATGACAGTCAGTTATGTAAAAACTTGTCCTAAAACACTAGGTGTGGCTTACAGGCTAGGAAATATAACTGTAAACTATTATTAAATTTATTTAGATCCACAAGCTACTATTTTAAAAAGTAGTGATGAACTATTTGGTGGGTCACATTTAACGATGAAACAGATTCCTAATAGCGGTAGACGAAGCTTGTTGTCAATGCTAAAAATGATGGATATAAGTATGACTATCACAAACAATAAACTAATATATTTAGCACTACGTTGAGTCAATGTTGAACCAGATAGGCGTGCAATATAAAGGGCATTATGATCAATTAGCGGTTGAAGTCTATGCGACATAGTTCCCATTACATCATGAGACAGGTATATTTATGGCGAGGATTCTAAGCCAATCGTCTGCCTTATCAGCTGCTGTTTATTTCAAATATCAAAGTCTTGGCAATGGTCACGAGAAAAGTAGGTGTATCACTAATATCTCACGACCGTTGTTGCTACCTTGGCGTGGTGGTCGGGCTTGCCTATCGTGATGACCCAACCGAGCTATATTGGCTGGAACAACTGTTCCTCAAGGTCCTACCATGTCAGACAGGTCGGTTGAAGAGCGGTAAGACTAAAAGCAACAAACCTAAGGTCCGAAGGCGAAGTCGTACTGCTGACTGTACAGAGGTGTGACAGCAGTAAGGTGTTTCCTTCAGACAATCAGCATGACAGCGATGCTGCCTTCCCACAAGGAGGGGTGGGGTTAGAAAAGGTCGACCCTAAAAATGCACACCTCGCCTTATCCCACGGATATCCGTCTCCGGCGGTAAGCTCCCAAAAAGTACGGAGCTAACACAAAAATTACCCATAAAAAGGTCGTGTGTGACCGACCTCAAGCAGTTGTCCCTTGGGCACTGCGGTCACGCTCCCAGGTCACTAAGACCACCTCTAATCCAATTTCCTTTCCAGGTACCTCCAGAAGAACCCTTCCTCGGTGTGGGCAACCGGGAAGTGATAACCGTCCTCATACCTCTAACAACACTCAAGACCACTGTATTCATAATCAACCTCCGTCTTCACTTCCTATTACTCCTCCTACATCGACTTTCCACTCTAAACTTCCTTTTTCGGCTTCCTCCTCAAATGTCACCATAGCCAACGATTCTAGTGCTCAAAACAGTCCCAGGTCTACCGAAACCTCGCTCCAAACTACACATTGGAGCCTTCAACGTACACACCCTATGTCAAATCGGTCAACAGGCTTCCTTGGCTAGAACCCTAGAATCTCGTACCATTGACGTATGCTGTGTCTCTGAAACACGCATACAGGATCCCAGTGTGGTCATTCACTTGACCTCACCTCGGCAACACGGAGAGCCAACGAGATACACCCTCCATGTATCTGGTGACGCGATGGCTAGCTCTCATGGACTGGCAGGAGTAGGGATAGCACTAAGCATGAGGGCGGAACAAGCACTGTTAGAGTGGATCCCCGTTAACAGTCGTTTATGTGTTATTCGGCTAAACGGCTCCGTAAGAACTCGGAAGGATAGGGACACATGTCGTTGCCCTTTTGTCGTTTCTGCCTACGCTCCCACCGACTGCAGCTCAGATGAAGTGAAAGATGAATTTTACAGAAAGCTATCTGAACTTCTTTAGAAAGCTAAACGTTCAGACATAGTATTTGTAGCAGGTCCCGATCGAAGCTGCTACCTTGACGTGGTGGTCGGGCTTGCCTATCGTGATGACCCAACCGAGCTATATTGGCTGGAACATATGTTCTTGCAGGTTCTACCATGCCAGGCAGGTCGGTTGAAGAGCGGTAAGACTGAAAGCAACAAACCTAAGGTCCGAAGGCGAAGTCGTACTGCTGACTGTACAGAGGTGTGACAGCAGTAACGTGTTTCCCTCGGACAACCAGCATGACAGCGATGCTGCCTTCTCACAAGGAGGGGTGGGGTTAGAAAAGGTCGACCCTAAAAATGCACACCTCACCTTACCTCACGGATTTCCGTCTCCGGCGGTAAGGCCCCTTGAAGAACGGAGCTAACACGTCAAAAACCTTCCACAAAAAGGCCGTGCGCGACCGGCCTCAAGCAGTTGTCCCTTGGGCTCTGCGGTCACGCCCCCAGGTCGTCAAGACCAACACTAATCCAATTTCCTTTTCAGGTTCTTCAAGAAATACCCTTCCACGGTATGGGCAGCCGGGAAGTGACATCAGCCCTCATACCCGTAACAGCACAAGTGACCAAGGTGGTCACATTCAAATCCTTTAATTTGTAGCAGGTGACTTTAATGCCCAGATAGGTAGTTTAAACCAAACAGAAAGGCACTTAGGTGGGTATTTTAGTATTCCGGCACAACGAACAGATAATGGTGGTCGTCTAACATGGCGACCGCCTGCACCAAACCAACGATGGACTCAAATAGACCATATTGCCATCAGTCATCGTTGGAGATGGTCGGTAGAAGATTGTCGCTCATTCTGGAGTATCTGCTTGGACTCCGACCATGCCCTAATACTGGGACGCATCCGCTTGCGCCTCATTGGACGCAAAAACGCCACACTAAAAAGACCCATTAGAACTGAATTGAGTAACGAGAAAACCAAAAGTAGGTTCCAAGAACAACTGAGTTCACAATTAGGTAGTTCTGAAGACGAGGCTGACCCAGATGTTGCTTGGAAAGACATACAAGCAGCTGTGGAAACAGCAGTGACATCTATCAGTGATTTAAACCACAGGGTTACAAAGAACCAATGGATTTCCTCAACGTCTATTGCACTGATGGATTCTCGTAAACTCATCCCATTAGGCTCTGAACACGATGAAGAGCGACAACAAATCAGATCTAGGTTAAGCAAAAGTCTAAGGAATGACCGTGAGCAACGAAAGCAAAAGAGATGTAAACGGCGGCGGCTATAGGTAACACAAGACAGCTCTACAGACTAATAAAAGAAACTGGAATTAATAAGTCAAGTGTAAGTCAGACTATTTCGGAAAAAGACGACACCCTCATCTGCTCCCAGTCCAGACGTTTATAACGATGGGTGGAACATTTCAGCTGGCCTTCAGCTACTCTACAACTACCCTCCATTCCCAGACAGTGTGAATGGAACATTGAAGTAGGTCCCCAAACTCTAGCAGAAGTTCAAAAGGCTATAGTTAATCTGAAACGAGGAAGGGCAGCTGGTTCAGATGGATTGGCTCCAGAGGTCTTTAAGGATGGTGGGCCAATTTTAGCGATTAGGTTGACTAATATTTTAGCTAAGATCTGGGAGTTAGACGTTATTCCATCTGGTTGGTCACAATCACTTATCGTCCCAATATATAAGAGAGGGTCAAAATCATCCTGTGACAACCATAGAGGGATTAGTTTAACTAATATAGTATCTAAAATACTAGCCTCGATAATTATCAGACGCCTAACTAAGACTCGTGAACTGCAAACACGAGAGAATAAAGCTGGCTTCAGACCTGGTCGTGGCTGCATCGACCACGTATTCACCATTCGTCAGGTTCTAGAACATAGACAAACTTATCGGCGTCCGACAATGGTGGTCTTTCTTGACATGAAAGCAGCATTTGACTCGGTAGACCGCGAGATTCTGTGGCAGTGTCTGTCACTGAAAGGCGTACCCCAGAAGTACATAAACCTTGTGAAGGCTCTTTACTCGAACACTACTAGTCGAGTCAGACCTTATGGCGAACTGTCATCTACTTTTGCAACCTCAAGTGGTGTCCGTCAAGACTGTCCACTTTCTCCATTTTTGTTCAACTTCATCATAGATCTACTGATGGAAATAACATTCTCGTCTACTGAATTCTCCGGTATTGATCTCCTTCCAGGAGGTCCACTTATCGACTTAGAATACGCAGATGACATAGTCCTGTTTGGTGAAGACGCTGATAGAATGCAGTCTTTTGGTAGCACTGAGTAACAATGCCAGAATGTTTGGAATGCGCTTCTCTCCCTCTAAATGCAAGTTGTTGCTTCAGGACTGGGCTGCGTCAACACATGAACTAAGGATAGGGAGTGAAGTAGTCGAACGCGTTGACAACTTCACTTATCTTGGAAGTCTGATCAGCCCTAATGGGTTGGTATCGGACGAAATCTCAGCACGGATTCGAAAAGCTCGCTTGGCTTTTGCCAACTTGCGTCACCTATGGCGAAGGAGAGATACCCGTCTATCAATAAAAGGACGAGTATACTGCGCGGCAGTCCGTTGTTTTAATTTACGGCAGCGAAACATGGCCATTAAGAGTAGAAGACACTCGTAAGCTATTAGTATTTGACCACAGATGCCTTAGAAATATTGCTGGCGTCTGCTGGGATCACCGGGTAAGTAATAGTGAGGTTAGACGCAGGGTATTAGGGAATGATGGTAAATCAGTTGATGAGGTTATGAATCTTCATCGACTGAGATGGTTGGGCCACGTGTTACGTATGCCTGAACACCGATTACCACGACGTGCAATGCTATCCGGTATTGGAAATGGTTGGAAGAAATTTAGGGGCGGCCAAACCAAAACGTGGCATCAGTGCTTGAAGTCACTAACTTCTAGTCTGAGCCATGTTGGTAGATGCAGACTACTTGGTTGGGGTCCGCGTGACTACCGTAACCAATGGTTAGAGACTCTTGGTGTCATGGCTCAGAATCGATCACAATGGCGTCGGTGTATACACTCCCTGTCTTCCCTTAAACTAAGAGATTAAAATCGCTTCATATCTTTCTTTCTACGAACCAATTCTTCCTTCTTGTACTATATCTCTATATGCAATCTTTCTCTTATATATTACTACCTTTGACCTAACCACTGCTACGAATCCGGTGTTCATCTTGTTGTGCTGATGCGGTATGGCAACCTGGACCGATGCACATATGTGCCTGGTCCTAAGTTGTAGCTGACTGACTGATCACTAATATCTCTATATTAAAATCAATCAACATAGTTCTCTAGTAGCAAAATCACCAAGTTTATTTCAAACTAGGACCAGTTCGGTGTCACAAAACTACAATAACATCAAGCTCAATCTTAAGATCGTTGACTTACGAAGCAGGATTAAATATGCGACTTAAATGCATAAAAATTAATTATTCTCAAGAAACTCCCAAACTTTTCACCACGAGCAAACTCATTAATAAGTACGTGCTAAAAAAAACTTTTCGAGACTTACTTATTGTGCATATTTTCTGTAAAACAGTACCGACTGCTATGGATTGACCTTTCCAATAGGCGTATTGGTTTAGTCTGGATTTGGAAAGAAAAATATAAAAAAAACTCGATAAATCCAATACAGTGACGAAGATATTACTAAGATATTTTTCCAGTGCAAATATGATGGCTTAATTATCAGACTGTCTCCCGGAGGTTCATACGTGTAAGCTTCATCTTATCCACGTTGGTTCACTAAATTAAGCAGAATTAATGGTCCTAGCAATTTAATTTTCACTAAAATTCTAGTACGCAAACTAGTTACTAACTGTTAAATTACACTCGAGCTATTCATACACGTAACAACAACTGAGCTTGTAAATTACTCTTACATCTTCAAAATAGCAGAGATCGCCGACGAAGAACTTCAGTTACAGTTTGAATGTTTATTGTAAGTGTATAGATAGACACTTCAAGTATACTTTTTTATATATGTATAGCATACGAGTCAGAATAAGCTTCGTTGAGCTGCCAGTATACATACACATTTATTCCAATGATTACACAGTAGCCAACTTGGTATCAAAAAGATCACTACATATAGTGATATGAAATGACAGCTATATTAGTAAACTTCGAAAGGATTGAAATTAAATCGAAGTAATTCTTACCATTTGTTACAAAGTGTTAGCACATAAGATTCTTTGAGTGAAAATTATGGAAATAATTTACAAAAGCAATGACGCGTTTTGGCGGTCTATATTAGTATAGGCAGCTTTTTACTAACCTCATCATATACTGGGACTCGTCAGACAAAAATTATTGGCCAGAAAAGTTCCTGACAACTTAATTAACTCGTGAAATATGAGGTATATAGGATTAGACATGCTGGTAAAAAATACAAACGAGATTTATCTTACTGGTGGTTTCGACTGACGGTCTAGTAATGTCACAAGGACCTGAGCCTGAAAAGGAACAGACCATCGGCGTTGATCATGATACATAAGTTCCTGTATGAATAAGAAAAGTAAAACAAAACATAAGTTACGAATAGATCATAGCCTCTAGCGTCTTTCCATAAATATAGCGGTTCATGCATGACTTCATTTTTAGGAGAAAGCTGCTGAAAGTAACGCAAAAATGTTGACTTTCCACACCCTATATTCCCCTCAACCATAACCTAAATACTCCAAATTAACAAATGGGTAGAAACCAACAGTCCGAAATTCATATTTTGAAGTCATAACGTCTACAAGGATTCGACCTAGAAATTGATTAAAAACACTGGCGTATCTTAACAACTATGGGCTGGATTCATCAAATTCATTAATTTTCCGAAACGTTTCCTTGATTGGTGGTATCGTATCAAGGTAGTGCTTATTCAGACTAATCTAAAGGCTTGAATGCTACCGTTTAAGTGAATTCGGCGAGTATTCTGTTTATATAGAGTATAGTTGAGTGAGCCCTATATTTAATATCTCTGCCTTTTTGTCATTTTGTCTTCTGTCTTTGTGACAAGCTTTCATGAAACGGTCAGTTTCTTTGCACTTGCTTCTCATTGTTTCAGTACGACTGCAAGTCTTTGATAATGTTCGATAATCATTAGTCCAGCCACTTGACTGCATTTATTCCAGTCAGTTATTTTAGTTAAGTGTAGGTTTGTATATCGTGTAATTTGAATAAGTGAGTTCGTCTCAGATCATTAGCGGTTATGGATAATAAGCTGTCACTTTACTAGGTTGGTTGATAGCAATAAAGGAAATAATTAAGAAGACATTCAGATGTTGAGCGATGGATGTTCCAAGAAACAAACAGGAAGATGATGTATTTACGTAGTAATGAAGACGATGTGAGAAGGTAGGAGAGCGAGAACGAAAGGTGGTTCGAGATGTTGATAGGCGATTATTTGATGATGTGACGACGATAATGGTAGGTGATTTTCGAGATATGTATCAGGCACGGGTGTTCCAGAATGCGAGGTGAGTATCAACTGAGGGGGCTGGGATCACTTCAGGTGAGAAGGCATTCAGGAAGGAGGTAACTACTAATAATATAGTGACATTATACTACATTTTCAATCGTCCACTTGCAGATCTTCGGGGTTTCCCTCGTAGAGTGTGACGGTGATTTTCTGATTGGACGTTTTTATTAGGTTCCAGGTGTATTTAGTAGGTTGTGAACTATCAATATTTCACCTCTTATTTTAGTATGGCCGAACCATAACACCCCAATAGTCGAAGTTTATTTTCGCAAGATTCACTTCTTAGCCCTATCGTCTACTCATTTGACACTCTTCATGCTTCATCTCATTTGATGAGTAAAATTTAGGGCTTTGAAGTAATGCCTTGGGTTCGTTTTGAGGTGTGATTTAAACAAATATAGAGGGATTGTGCTAAATTATTTCCATTTGGGTTGAAAAGCTACATTACTTTTGGCTGAGTCTATAATGCAGTTTGATTTGTGTCCCCGATCTCTGCAGCAAATATGTTACGGGAGAACTGCAGACATTTGGCTGATTAAAACCTTTGCATTGGATATTATCAATTTCACTGAGTTTTTGGAAGTATTGGTTTTACTCAACTTCTGAACTTGTTTGTTCATATCATTATTTTCGGACATTTTGGTTTTTTTTTATTTGTTTAGGTTTTGGAAGTTTTTGCTCCGGGAACCTACGAAATTGAAGAATGACGTTTGGGTCGACTATCTGTAAATAGCAAATAAACTTCAGTATCTAAATTGGAGTTCGATTCTATCGTTAGCTTGAGTTCGTACGTTGCAAATACATCGATATACCCTACTTCAATAACGGAAGCGAGCAAAAACTTGGACGTATCATAAAGGTCTTCAATTATTTGTTCTGTGGTCTACATACTTTGGATTTTTGGGACATTTTTGGTCCAACCATCCGGTTCTATCGTTCGATTTCGTTCGGATTACTTCACCTTTGTTTAGGTAACAGATTCTATGGAACAAAGGCATACGATGGGAACGCAAAGCAAAAGGCCGAAAGAAAATGACGAAATGGATGGTAAAATTTCTAAAGCTGTTTGTGGTATGTCTGGTGTTGATGATAATGAACGTGATGATGATAGTGTCAATAGTATGTACTCTGACCAGATTAGTACTTGTAGAATAAAGTTAGGTAAGACATTGTTAAGGAAGAAGAATTTAGAAAAGAAACTTGAGTTAGAAGTGCAGCTTAAGAAGAGGTTGATATGGCTGAATTAGAATGTAAGATCATGGAGGACGATAACCGGCTGTCCGTAGACAAGTGTGAAATAAATGCTAAGGTGGAAAGCCACTTGGATTGCGATACTAGCTGTACTAGTCACCCAAGAGAGATATTTAACATCTCAAAGGGCGATTGAGTTGATGAGTTGAAGGAAATGGTACATACTGTGGTTAATAATATGGTTTTGTAAAATTATGGTCTACTATAATATTAGTACTGCTCTAATAATAGACCTAATCCTAAAATTGTAGACTTGTCATGATATAACTGCCTAATCTATAAGATCTTACGTGGAAGTCACACCATCGACTACACCAACTCATTGTATCGTATCATTCAATTAACTGTTCCCGCCTTTTCCATCGTTAGGTATTTCTCCGCGTTAGATATTGAATATCTTTTTTCCGAGTAGTCTTGTGTTCAGCTTTGAAGATTGTGTGGTTATGGTCCAATGCCACTACAGTTTTACCTAAAATTGATATGATGTATTTTATGAACAATCAAGTCAGTCTACCAGCATTGTGGGGAGTAGACTGTCCGATGATGGCCAATTGTTGTCGTATTTGTTATATTATTGTAAAGGAATGGCCAGGGTGGCTAGTGAAGCTTGCATTTCTTTGCCCAGTCATTTGGGTTTTGACATAGTTAAACAAAGTTTATATGATATGTAGGGTAGGGAATAACTTGTCACCCGCGTGCTGATTACGGAGTTACTTAACCACAAATCTGTTGAAGGATCATCCGATAGCTTAACTAACTTCGCAATTAAGCTGCGTAATGCGTGCATAACATTGAAGGAAATGGGGTATATGTCTGATGTGAAGTCTACGGCTAATTCGGAAATAATTGTGTAATGTCAACCCCTAGAATTACAGAATATGTGGATGGAAGTTGCCGATAAGACCATGGTGGCTGGGAAAGAGCCGATCTTTGAAGAAGTTGAGACCCTTGTGGAAGAAAGAGCCAGGATTGCTCGAACACGTTATGGTAGATTGGTTCAGTGTAACTCAAAGTTCGGCAAAATGAATTATGAAGGCCAAGCTGATAAGAGATCACGCTTTAATGTAGTTAGGTGGGACCCAAGGAACTCATTCAAGATTTTAAGTTGCGAACTTCGTTTAGGTGACCAAAAAGTTATCGAAAATGAATGTTAGAGAAAGGCGACAGGAAGTGAGGAGACGTGGTCTATGTTACCTGTGTTTAAGGGAGTGTCACATAGCCACGTCATGCAACTCGGACACCAAGTGTGACCTTGATAATTGCGAGATTCGGTGTAATTCATTGATACATATTGATAGTATTAATAACCAGTAGTGAACTTAGTTAGGGATTGAGACTCGTCAAATGTTTGTTTGGGTATCATTCCGATCAGACTGTATGGTCCGAGTGGAACATTGGAAACTTACACCCTTCTAGATAGTTGTTCAGATACTTCCCTCGTATGCGAAGAGTTATTTAATCAGTTGGGTATCGAGGGTAAAGAGGCTTCGATGACAATAACCACTGTGAATGGGACAACTACCTGTAAATGTTTGGAAGTAAATTTGAAGATATTTTATTTGGATGAACAGGGATCTGTGGAAATCAGCAAGGCTTATACGAATAAGAAGTTTGTGATCGATTATGTAGAACCTTTAGGCGAGGAACACCTGGGATAGTGGAAGCATTTGAAAGACATCACCCTTCCGGCGTTGCAAAGTAATCTGGTAGGAGTGTTGATTGGGCGTGATACTTCAGACGTACATTGGGCTCTGGAACGACGTCCGAAAGACATGTAACATCCGTTCAGTGTGAGTACGCTTCTCGGTTTGATGGTTTTAGGTCTCGAAATATTATGTAGGTCCGTGCATTCAGTACAGCTTTGTCATTTTCACGATTTTTCACCGGATTTAGAAACTAGAACCTAACAAAATATCCCTAGATCGCATTCTGAGGATAGATTTGTAGAGCCAGTGAAATGTCACCGAGTCCTAGCCAAATCATTCAGCAGCTGGGTCACTGAATATCGAACAAATAATCGATCCTCGTTAGTGTCAAGGACAACTAATGAGCATCAGTTAATCGTATGTCATGGACTGTCCGATGTGGTGGTGGTCTCGCTATTTTCTCTGTACACATTCTTACTAATACATTTCCTGTAATAACGTCCTTTGTGTCGTGCAGTCTGCAAAGCTTATATAGTACCTTGATACATTGATGCAGTAATCCACGTAAGGAGATAACCGCGAGGTGTGACTTCGAAGTTAACTGGTCCACAAACTATTCCTGTCTAACTCTAGTAGGCCCTCAATCATTTGACATAGATCATCAGCGTTGATGATCTACACATTTGACTGATTTTCTTAGAGTACGTAAACTGTTTATGTTACTTTTGAGTGTGTTTACAATACGACATTGTAACAGGTTGAATTTCTACTCATTACCGAGTCGGTCCTCTTTTTTCTTGTGGCACTCCATAATTTGGCGTTTCCAGAATATGGGAGAACTGGTGAAGTGATTTTGTTTGAGAGGTCATTAATAACGATGAGGTATAGAATTGAACTAAAAGATTCTCTTGATGTTAGGAATTATATCGTTGAGACTCTCCTGCTAGAGAGCACTTTGTTTGCAACATCTAATTCTTCGGATAACGCCAAAGCTAAGATAAATGTGGTCCAGTGAAATACATTTATAGTGACTTACGTGCAATTGAGTTTATTCTCATTTAATTCAGTTAAGCCCTTTTGCTAACTCATTTAGCGGACAAAGTCATCCGCACTATAACAACTTATTGTACCCTTATTATTTTGTGCTTGTATGAAATACGTATGCTCGAATATTGATTACCACCTACGCATTTATTCACTCTGCTAGTCTCACTACTAACTGCTTATTTGATTCGATTACTCATTCATTTCACATGGTATATATATGTCCATGTTATTTATATTAAACACACACACACACTCTCGTCTCGCTCTCGCTCTCGCTCGCTTGCTTGCCTTTCGGCACAACTCTTCTATGCTTGTTTAACGCATTTGTACT